CCCCCCCCCCCCCGGGCCATAGTATTGAGGTACCTAGATGATGACGTTTTACACGCCTCCAATACCCAACGCCTCACTTGTCTAGAGGCGAAACACTTCACCAAAAAGGTCCTTGAACGCTCTCAGTTTTGCATAGAGAAGACTTTGTTCATACCAGTGCGGATTTTACTCCTCAGAATTCTGGTGCTCTTCGAAGCTTGCTCATATAATACAGATGTCAAGCCTGGCAATATGTTGGTGAACTATGGCCACGATAGCTAGCAACACAACCGGTTTACGGACGACCAACTAGCCAACTTTGGAGATACCGTTGGTGAAGATTTAGCTTACGCGTGGGATGGGGACGCCATTGGAACACCAATGTTCAGAAGTCCTGAAGCACATTTGCAAATGCGATGGGGATTCCAACTGATATCTGGTCCTTTGGGGCACTGGCAAGTTTTCATATTCCAGAACAATGGAAATCTTGGGCCGTAGCTACTAATATTGTCTCCTTGCAGGTCGTCAGTGTGTTGTATGGAGAAGGATTCCACATATTCAAACCGGACGTCCCGGTCGATCACGACGAGTATGACCTCAAGATCCTTATGGAGCATCACCGATGCTTTGGCCCATTTCCACTCTCCTATCAAGAGATTGCGGATGAAGGTAGACTAGAGGTTCTGATGTGGATCATGGAAAATAGCCCTGCCGAGAGCTTGAGACAATTTCGCCTCACAACTTCACGGGAAATTTGCCAGGAGGATCAGGGGTTTGTGCTGAGGATAATGAGGCTTGACCTGCGAGATAGACCGACTGCGCATCAACTCCTGGAGGATGCATAGTTCTCCTAAGCTTAAGTGCTTACCCAGGGTACGGTGACTCCATGCCTACTTGATGCACTTGAGCCTGCTACCGACAAACCAGTGGCTATTGCGGAGTATGCGAACTCAGAAAAGAATTATGCGTGATCTTGCGTGTGGTCTGACTGAATTGTGAAATTGCCTAACCTGTGCACCTCCCCTAATGCATACACTCGGAGCGTCTCGCTTCCCAGCATTGAGCAGCTCCGCCACTCTGCATCACTCCGCATCACTCCAAACCAAGCTAATCCTCCTTCACGGGGAAATGCAAAGTTTTTCCGTCTTTGCCGTCGTAACAGACGCCAGTGAAGTGGTCACGCGGATCATCACTCTTATGCTCGGACTCCGTAGCTAGTGGGCCAGCATGAGTAATTGCGGTGTGCACCGCGGTGTTTTGCGTACCTTTGGCACACATCAACCGTCCCAAGGAGGCAACAGGTCCTTGGATGTCTCGACAGCTTTCATCCACCGTGGCCCTTGCTCTTGCACGACAGAATCCCGCCTAACCCACTTTGTGGTTTGCGTAGCAGGAAAGACTGTGATCTCCTGCCCAGCTTGCCAACAGGAATCTTCTTTACAGTTTGATTGTGGGACATCGTCGAGATTGTGTCGGGGGAACCCGGCTTCGAAGGCAAATCAAATGGGTTGTAAAATCAGGCGAAAGGGGAACTGACAATCTGGAAGCTATCTGTTCAGATTGCAAACCTTTGAAAGTGGGTGGAGAGCCAGCTTATAAGTTCTTGAGGCCTCCATCGACATCGAACCTCTCATCAATGATTTTGCGAGATCCCAAGCCCTCCCTTTCAGACTGCTAAAAGCGCGGGCCTTCTTATTGGCAGGAACAGTCTGCATTTGAGGAGGAGCGATGGAATTGTTGGCGACACGGCCATTGTCGAACCTTTCGATTTGTGAAAATCGGGTTTCCTCCATGGGGTAGCAGGATACAGACCCTTTTCATCACCAGGGTCTCCAAAGCAAATGGCGCTACCCAGCTCGAGTCGTCGACCAGTAGTAGTATGCTTACTGAACGTAGGTTGACTCGCAGGCACCGCACCACCCTGTCAATGCCTGCTTAACTGAATAACATGATCATCTTGAAAATAGCCAGAATAGGATTTCATAACTTGGCAATGTTGAATCATAAATCACCGCTTTGCTAATTAGACAGGCCAGGCCAGTGACACTACATGTGAGACAACTGGGTTTCTACTGATTGTGATTTCTCTTATACCAGATCACATCAGGAGTTATTGCAGCTATGGGTGCCTCTATGATAGCGGAGCCTCACACGTTTGTTTCTTATTTCTTCAAAGCATTGATTGCTGTTGTCACAGAATGACTATTGCTTGCAGTCGAAAAAGGTCTCTTGACATCTGATCGGAATCAGGTGACAACACTGTAGCTCATTAATTAGCATGAAGAATAATTTCCTGGTGCGTAGCTGTTTACATATGTATGTATGCAAACCACAGGAACTTGGTAACCCCTTTGGTTCCGCTCTTCCTCCGTCTTTCCCACTCACTCTAAAAGCTGTGTCTGACCTCCACTTTGTAGCCATGGCATTTGGCGGCGAAGGGATCATATTGTCATATACCACTTGATGTGGTGTTGAATCCATGTGGGACATGGCTGAGCATTGAATTCAAGTATACCCAGATCCTCAATTCTCACAATATAGTACAAACAAGAGGGGAACTGATTGGATGTCAAGCCCAAAAATTAAATTTGGATATATAAGGGTGTACCAGGTCTGTGTGGGTGGCTTCAACAGGCCAGAATAATCGCTAAAGCTTTGTAAACAACTAATTTTGATATCACATGGGGGATTTTCTGGTTAAAAGCTCTCACGAAGGTTTAAGCCTGAGGTTCTACTCTGTACACCAAATTCACTCACCAAGAGATGCATTCGCACAAGACTGCCTTGGCATAAAGCTTGGTGGGAGCTCACCGTATTCAGGAAATTGCGAATCGACTTGAACGAACGTGGTTGGTTTCGGGCGAAGAACAATGTTCTGATGGAGGATGAAGGAACTGGCGGTGAAGTCTTGTCGTTTGAGTCCACCCACCTTTAAGGCTGGAGGAGGCTGTTAGATCTGAGAGCGGTGGAGAGCTCGAGAAGACACGGGGATTCGTGTCTCAGCCTTGTGAGATTCGCGGCAAACAAAGATCGATGATTTGCCATAAGGTAGGTAATTTTCTCCACAGTGACAGATCAATGGGCAGCATTTCAAGAACCGTCGTGGGCCGACATGGGCTTATAAGTAGCCTTGGGGGGCGCTCTGTAAGTCCCAGAAAATTTCCAATTCGCGAGGTGTTGAGCAAGAGCGATAGGAATCTTAAAAAGGAACAGAGCCCCTGCGATTTGGATTCCCGCAAATTTCTGCTGGGGAGCAGTGGTCGGGAGAGAGGAAAGTCAAGAATTGCATTTGTTTCTCTGGCGCAGAAAATGATCCTGGCATTCGGAACGACTCTCCAATCCCCTGCGTCTCTAAGCCCACTTGGAGTCGGTTTAGCTTTCTGTTTTGTCGTGCATTTGGCGATTTGAAACCAAGATCATCGGAATTTCTCGCGTCGGTCCGTCCCTTCATGCTTATGCGGGTTTAAGATAACTAACAGTGGAGATAGCCAGAAGCAGGCGTTGGCTGGCCATGAGCACTGGCCGCCGAGAGATCTTTTTTTTCACGCTCCTCTCTGTCCGCCGAGGAACACGACGTCGAAAACTTCTGGGTAAACCATTCGCAGGCAAGCGACATGATTTCGAGAGCAATTGATGAAATAATTTTGACTTCTGCGGCCAAGGGGACTTGGATGCCAAGGCACCGCTGCGAGAGCCGACGGCGAAAAGTGGGAGGCTACTAGCGGCGCTGATAGGCTGGCCGGCAGACGATGATGTCGCGGCTCCCATCCTCTCCACCGCGGGCTCCAGGCGGCCCCATAGCTTGCTGGAGGCAGAGCAGGAAATCTGGTGTATTTAAGATGGGCTCTGTCGTCATTGCAACGTGCTGATATGTAACAAAAGGCAGACAATTCGTCCCCAGATGACCTGAACTTAGCCGAGAAGCGGCTGGAAAGTTACTTCTCTGAGGTAACTGGTATCGAAGAGATACATCTTGACAAGATACTTCCCGGACAGCCAGGGTGTGACAGAAGCAGGCTGCACAGACACACGGACTCGACAAAACAGCGCATATACAGGCACAACATCAGGTAACCATCGCATTGACTGACTGACCCCTCCCTTGCCCGCTGCCCCTCCTTCCAATCCTTTCTCATAACCACAACAACAACAACAGCGGCAACCGTCTTCACTGGCGCCACATTTGCTTCCACTATTCTCTCTCTCCTTTTCTCCCTTCTCCATCCTCCATCGTCCTCCCACCAACGTCACTCTTCCCTGACCTCACTCTCCACTCTGCGTATCCCATCCGTCGACCCAGTGCCCGCTTCTCTTCTTCACTTCCAAACCTCACTTCTCAACCATGGGTAAGAAGGCTGTCCACTTTGGAGGCGGCAACATCGGCCGTGGCTTCGTTGGCGAATTCCTCCACGAGTCTGACTATGAAGTCGTCTTCGTTGATGTGATGGACTCCATCATCGACGCGCTCCAAGGCGCTTCCTCATACAAGGTCACCGAGGTTAGCAACGAGGGAGAGCACACCAAGACCGTCACCAACTACCGTGCTATCAATTCCAAGCATAATCTCGACCAGGTCATCAGCGAGATCTCTACCGCTGATGTCGTCACCTGCGCCGTCGGCCCAAACATCCTCAAGTTTATTGCGCCTCCAATCGCCAAGGGCATCGACGCCCGTACTATCGAAAGACCTCTTGCCGTCGTGGCCTGTGAGAACGCCATTGGCGCTACCGATACCCTCCACAAATTTGTCAAAGAAAACACTGACCCTTCTCGCGTCGAGTCCCTTTCTTCTCGAGCTCGATTCGCCAACTCCGCCATCGACCGTATCGTCCCCACTCAAGACCCAAATTCGGGCCTCGACGTGAAGATCGAAAAGTTCTACGAATGGGTGGTGGAAAAGACACCATTTGGGGAATGGGGACACCCCGATATCCAGGCTATTCTCTGGGTCGACAATCTGGATCCTTACATTGAACGTAAGCTTTACACTGTCAACACCGGACATGCTACTGCCGCATACTACGGGTACAACATGGGCAAGAAGACTATCTACGAGTCTATGAGCGACGAGAAGATCCGTGGCCATGTCAGAGACGCTCTCTCTGAGACTTCGACCCTTATTGTTGATAAGTATGGCATTCCAGCCGAGGAGCAGCGCAAGTACGTCGACGCCATCGTCGCCCGAATTTCTAACCCACACCTCGAGGACGTAGTCGAGCGTGTCGGCCGTGCCCCACTTCGCAAACTCGGTCGCAAGGAACGCTTTGTCGGCCCTGCCTCTCAGTTGGCCGAGCGCGGAAAGAAAGTCGATGCCTTGTTGGGGGCTATGGAACAGGCTCTGCGATTCCAGAATGTTCCCGAGGACGACGAGAGCTTCGAGCTTGCCAAGATCCTGAAGACAGAATCTGCAGAGGATGCAACCGCGAAGCTGACTGGGTTGGAAAGCGACCATCCACTTTTCGCACGCGTTGTTGAACGTGTTGCGAAGGTTCAGAAAGGACCGAAGTAAGTGATCACAGTGTTACCCTAGTGCGATGACCCCGATTTGGAGCAAACCCGTTTCACTGTATTTGTTGCTTACGAGTTTTTTACGGCATTACCTCAGTGTGATGATTTCAATTTGCAGGCGCCTCGTTTCACTGTACTCTGCTGCTTATGAGTCTCTGATGAAATCACGATAGTGCTCCGATCCCCGATATTCGACAGACAGAATATCCTATTATGGAAAGGCTATGAGATTATGGTATTACGATTGCACGGGCCTAAGAAAAGGAAAACGACAAATTATGATATGGTTATTAGCAAAAGGGAATTGATATGTATGAAACTCGTGGTTATGTTGCTACAACCCTTCCGGAGCACAGGGGCAGCTTTTCGCCCTTGATCCAAAAATAGAAAATCACATGTTGAATTTCTAGTCACTTTATCCTGTTTCTCGTCATTTGAGTATTGTCATGCATATGGACAGCCTTTACGCAATGTGCTCCCAGTCCAATCCAACATGGGGCGGCTTTGTAGCGGTACGATCGCAGTATGGGAGCTCAGCCTGTCAATGATGTCATCATGAGCATTGACTTTTAGAAGCACAGCTGGTTCCTGGTTCTCTTCATGGATTATGACCCAGCGATCGTCGAACGATTTCTCCATCTTTCACACTAAAAGATGCATTATGCATGCCCATGTCCAAAATAAACATAGTATTAGGGCTTCGCTGGGATGGGGTTACTCTTAACTACATTGTCCAAAGTACACACCGCCAAAACTTGAGATGTATTCCTCGCGGAAGGGGGGAAGCTCGGGCAGTTAACCTTGGAAAAAAGAAAAACCGTCTAAAAGTAATACTGCTACTTTATTGTCACAAGAGCATGCATAGGTGCCTATGGGGTAGCGTGGGTTAAGGAAAGAAGCAAGATTAAGCGAATGAGCCGTCTCAGAAGCTGAGTTTCAAAGCACCATGCACACTCCTCTTTCCTGCTGCAGAGCTCTCGACGGTTCTGAAAGGACACGCTTGCCTTCAAGGCCCTAAAAGAAGACGAATCCTGCAAGGAGATTGCCTTCAAGAAGTCTCGAACATGAGACTGACTCTGTAAAGCGCGCGCGGGGTTATATAGGGGAGCTGGCTTCGAGAGTCATCTGCAAAGAGTTGGTTTCGTCGATTAATCCCCTAATTTTATGGTCTCTTTTCCTGTAGGACTCATGAGATCGTCGCTATCGCCAGGATTCGATTTGTCTGGAATATGGACTTCGAGCATTATCGTATGTGTTGGGCTTTGGCAGTATTTATTTATTTATTTTTTTTGGGGCGTTCGCGTGAGTTTTGAAGCATGTATCTCTTCATGACCTTTTGAATGTGCATCTGGGGCCAGAAAGGGTAGTGGCGCCATCACTTTGTTGTATAACAATAAAACAAAGAGGCTGGTTTCCCTGAAATGGCCTTGGTAAGTTAGTTAAACAAAATAATGATGCATCAGTCCAAGCATATACCAAAATGCAGTTTAGCACTTGACCAGGCACGCGAACAAAGTAGCTTCTCGATCTATAATACTATTAATTGTATCGAAGACAATGACGATATAGACTTATTTTGAAAATGTTGTAGGATGAGAGAGTGCCCCCACCCGCCCGCGTGGGTGTTGTGGGGGGTCTGAGTGCTGGTCCTGGAGAACAATTCGCGTTCTTTAGGATGTCGCTCAACAGGGTGTGCAGAGTCTGTTTAAAAATGATATTCTTTGGGAGCAGAAAAACTGAGTGCTCTAAGGAATCAGCATATGAGCTCGCAAGATTGGACCATGACCTCAAAACGCACTTTGGAGATTCTGGTTGGTGATTCCAACCATTGGGGGTCTGAAAATGATCTATAAAGGTATATAAAAGAGAAAATTAACTTGATATGACCAACCCTCTTGGGAAACCCGTTAGGAGGCATAAAGGTAGGCTATGTCCTCTTAGGACGTAGGTGAAGGTTTGCAGGCATGCAAGGACCATGCAATGAACGACATGCAAAAAGCACTCACCATCTAACTGCTGCGAATATCTGGTGATGTGATCACTGATAACGCTCACTCCCTTTTTAAATTTCAATCTGGCGGTCAAACACAGAGGTTTCGCTGTTGGTGTTGCATGAAATAGGGGTATAAAAAAGGTAGAAGGGGAAAAAAAAAAAAAAAAAAAAAAGGGGGGGCTCAAGAAAGAAAAAAGATAAGCGGAAAAGGAGCTGCAGGGAGAAAATTGGCTGTGGTCTCTGCCACTGGCTCCCTGATCTATCGTTGCGGACACAGGCACACCCTGTGTGGTTAAGAGGTCTGAGGTGTCTTTGTTTCGGTATAATGGAGGTCATTCTCGGTGAACGTTTTTTCCGTACACTCGGCCTCGGCCCTGGCAACGGGAAAACTGCTGCCCAACATTGTTGGAGGCTTCTTGCGTATGAGTGGGCACAAAATTTACGATGTCTTGGGCCTGGGTGGGGGAATCCGGAACTTGTACCCTTGCCATTACAGTATCGCATTAACTATGGCGCTGATTCCATCCTCGTTAATTTCCAGAGGAGAAGAAACCAACAAAAATTTCGCAAAAATATCCAGGGGGTTAGTAGGGCTTCTTCCAGCAAAACTACCCTTAACTATTGAGAGTACTCTGGACTGGCCGGCAAATACATTGGAAGTCGTCGGGCCGAGAATTGGCTGGTCCAAGCCGTTCCAGCCGCACGAGGCTGTGCTCGGAAAATCCATGTGGCGAGCCACACTGCCAAGAAGATACTACTCCATATAAGGAGAGGCGGTGATCCACAGGGCAGGTTAAGCGGCTTGGCGAGAACCGTGGCTTTGACGGCGGCCACTCGCCATGATGTAACTCTCCTGGCAGCGTGGAGTGCGACCTGTCCAGAGTTCATCCCCACCCTCACCGGTAGACAACGCTCGACAACGCTCGAACCACCAGGCACATGCCCCATACCCCAACTCGGCTGGTTTTCCTGTCCTCGTATATTATTGTCCCTTGCCATGATTTTCTCTAACAAATGAGACGTAATTCCTCCACCTCGATACACGCATATACATAGTTACATATAAAATGGTCGCATCCTGACGGCCATCCTGCAACCTCCCAGCAATCCAGGAATAACCCTCTCAATGTTACTGCTTCATTAGCTCTGTTTCTCACCTTGTTTATCAAAAGAAGCATGGGATACCACTGATAGACTGTTATGTCGGCTGAAATGTAAGTGAGAAGCTGCAATTTGACCATCAACATTGAACCCCGCCAATCAAGAACTCTACTGCCCACCTGCACCAAGCGCAGTCTCTGTTTGGAATGCCTGTTGGATGAACCATGGATGCTGGAAGTCGCAGCTGAGCAGGAACTTGTTTCCATCGCGGCCTTCTGAAAAACAGTCAGAGACCTCAACTTCTTTCTACTTCCAATACTGCCCTGCTTGATCCGAACTGTGGGAGACCAGAGCCATAGGCAATTTCTTAGCCCGTTGTGTTAATGTGGAAATCTTTAGTTCCGATATTATTCCTGAATGTTATCGTTTCATAATATCAAGGGATCTAGATGCTAACTCACTACCTCTAGCTATTTCAGCCTCACGTGTGCTTGTGTTCTACCAAGCACACACTCAATCTTACTTTGACAAGAGCTCAGCTGGTCTTTGAATTGATCCTTAAAGGGAAAAAGCTTTTGGAATCTTATCAATACACGGATAACATATGCAAAACAATGCACGATGTCCTTCCCGCCGCCTCGCTCACTGCTGAATCCTTACCCGGAGCCACTTCCACCCTATACTCCGCGCCAGCCCCGCGTCAATGAGCCAGAAACGGCTTCTATCCGCTCAAGCGCCCCCTCTTATGTCTCTGCAGCTCCGTCCTACCATTCATCCCCGCCGCCACATCACACGAGAGCGAGCGATATTGGGTCCACGCCGGACAACAGCTTGCCAACCCAAAGCAATTCTTCGGCACCACCTCCCACATCAAGCCCTTCACGGCAGACTGGCCTCCCTTCTTCCCAGAGGTATGCGCCTGGCTTCGAAACAAGGGGCGGCGACTTGTCTCACGTGAACGTTCGGTCACTATATAATATATCCGAGTGGGTTCCTGTCACAGGAGGCCTACAGGCTCGACATTATCACAATGTTGCCAAAAGACGAGTGACGGATGCATCAAGATCTCTGTTTCCCTCTTTATTCTCTGAGCCGGCGCACGGAGCGCGATACGAGAATGCTGGCATGCCTGATACGTTCCAGCGACGCTACACCGCTCCAAGCTTGGGTTCTGGTGGCGCTGGTCCTTCTGGAGAGAGTTATAATTTATCTTCTTTGAGCTTAGTAAATAATTTCTCTCCGGAATCGAGCAATCATCCTCGATCCCACTCACCCCACAATGCCACTGGAAGCAGTGTTTCCTTAGACTACTATCCAGGGAATCCCTCTTCTGAAGACCTTACATTCTATCCTCTTGAAGATCCTGATCTGGTTGGCGAGGCGGCCGCAGCGAGATTCCGTTCACAGCGCATTTACAGGACGCTTCAGCAGGAGGAGAACTTTTACCAGCAAACGCAACATTCTGGATCAAATGCCCGGCAGCACGAACCCAGGCATCCTGATCACGTATATCAGTACAGCTCGCTGATCGCCGAAGCCGACAATCTAAATATCCGTCAGCGACCATCCACTGCCCCTGGCTTGTCATCCCACGAACCATTTAACACAGATTCAGCCGGTCCATCAAACCCTGAAGAAACTGTAGACACTCTTCAGCGCTCTAATACGGTGGTTGATTATGATGAACTTCTTCGTGCTCAAGAGTCAAAAACCTGGGACTGTATGCTCGCACAGATGGCCGACTGGGAGGAGCGCCAGCGCAACTGGAAGAAGTTCAAAGACGACTTGGATAAGAGATTGAACTCCAGTCTCAAGATCGGCATGGGTTGGAGTATGTGGTCGCCTGGTGGCGGGAGAAGAAAGTTGAAAAAAGAGCAATTTGGTAGCCATCCGGGCCTGAAGAAGTGGAAGAGCAAGGTTGGTTTAGCAAACTGAGAAGAAGCTGTTTACTAGCTTTTTATTTTATTTTATTTTTTTTTTATTTTATTTTCTTTCTTTCTTTCTTTTTTTTTCCTGGGAAATTCTTTTGTGTTTTTCTTCTCATGTTTCAAAGATTGAGGACTTTTTGAAGTGCTGCGAAACGGATTTCGCCGGGTGAGCCCCTTTTTGGAAATAGTATGAGTTATGCAAGGTTATGATTTACTCTTTTGTGCGATTTGACACGCCATTCCGGTGCCATGCTTGATTGATGAATTTGAGGTCCTTCTAGCACCACGATACCGGAAGTGTTAGCTTTTGGCGGCTCCATTGCTTGAATTTCGATGACTCGCATTCTGTTCCACATTCGATGCATTTTTCGGTGCTTCTTTGCGGTTTCGTCTCTTGCCTCGGGGCCGTGTGCACCCCCAGCCGCTTTTTTTAAGTCCAATTCTAGAGTGCTCCGCACGCAGAACTAATGTAAGGTGATTTTCTTCCAATGACTTTGAAAATGACTAAATGGATTGAAAAAAGAAAGATAAATAAACGAGAATCAAATTTTAATTTGAATTCGGAGCCCCAGAAAGTCGCTGAAGCTACATATCTACCCCCCAACATTTAACTTTCATGGACTTGGGTGCTTCCAAACTCTCCAAAACGAGCGAAAAGAGTGTGACATTGAAAAAAACATACAAGTTCCCTTACTTTCCTGTAAAGCGGCTTCATGAAGATCTCTGCCTTGAGGAAGACAAAAACAAAAGAAATATAGGCATTGAGGGGCTGATCCAGCCTCGAGCTGATCCCGGGGGGAGAGAAAAAGAGGGTCAAAGCGATAGTAGTTAAAAGGAGAAAGGCAGTTACATGATGATTCCGAAAGGAAAGAAGACAAAAACCCATCCAGATAGCTGCAGAGATGGTAGGAAGCGGCGGCAAGGGATATTTTTAACACTAGTGTCTTCCGCTCCGTCATCAGCAGCACCGCCGGCGTTTAGAACCGGTTTGGAGAAGGCTTTGGGTCTAGATTAGATTCATTATCTTCGCCGAGCTCAGGACTTGGAGGGTTGGTGGGATTCGGATTTGGCAGTCCTGGGAAGCTACTTGGGAAGCCAGGAAAGGTGGTTGGGAAACCAGGAAAGCTAGTTGGAAAGCCGGGGAATGTCGTCGGAAATTGAGGGAATGAAGTTGGGAAGCCGGGAATCGAAGTAGGGAATTGTCTCTCCTCGATGGCCGCATGGGCTTCTCGGTCTACCCACAGGGTTAGTTTTCGTCAGCCTGTGGAATTGGGTGGGCTGTAGGGTAGAGGGGTGACGAACTGATTGCAACCGATGCAGCCAAGCTAGCGCAAAGCAAGGAGAGGAGGAGTTGGAATTGCATGGCTCTTCAAGGTAATTTGCTTTTGTTACTAGTTTAAGGTAAGCGGTTGTTTTGGACTTATTGTGAGGTATGGAAGATGAGGCACACCACTAGGCAGCTATAGATTTGAAGATTTTATATCGGACAATTCAGTTACTCGCCTTAGTCTTTATACAGCCATTCCATCTTTCTCCCGTGGAACGGAAGCCAGTGGCTTTTTATGCCTCATAGCTGCGCTCGATACGCTCGCTTCGGAGACATTGTTTGCTCGCTAGGTCCGAAATTTGTTAGAGCCTTCCCGTCATGAGGTCGTACATTGCGATTCGAAAGAGACCGAATAACTCTTGGCAGCAGTGTTTCGAATTTTCTCAGCGTCCCACAGCATTTCTCTAGTGTAACATGCACCTCACTTCTTGAATCCATCCCCGTTATGAGATTGTGATATACCTCTACTCCGCAGTTTGCAAGAGAAAGTTCGGTAGCACGAATGAGGAGCGCGTTAAAAATGTTGATCATCCCCAAAACAGAGTACCGATCGTTAAAATGACCGTTTATCGGTGTCACTTCTCCCCGAAGTTTGAACACGATAGATGTGGGCGAGCTGAAGTACCAGAAGATCCCACGTCCGACTGCAGAGCAGCGCCGAATCTCCAGAACAAACGCCCGTAACACGTATGGAATTCTGAGCCTTCTGGTAGCTACAACATGTGAACGGCTAGTGAAGTCACTATGGTGACATCGTAGTCGTCATGGTATTTCGAGGGTTCACAAGGAGCGGGATAGACCCTGTCTGATATAGATAGGCTCCATAGGGCCACAGATACTTCAAGCAGCACATATGGACCTTTGAGAAAAGCTGCAATCGTTAAAAAAGCTAGGGATATCGGAGCGTAGATCTCGGAGATTAGCTTGGATTTGTATCGAATAGTCTGCGAGAAGCATTGATTCTAACCTTTTCCCAAGAAGAGGTAGCAGAGTCAATCGTTCGTCGTAAAATCGTGCTGTCAAAAGCGATTCGCGCTATCGGAAAGAAAGTTCACCTTATTATAATATTCCCGCATCATATGTGTGACGCGCAAGAAGACTGCAAGTGCGTCAGGGGCAGACGGTTCCCTACAATTGGAAGAGAACCATACTTAGCCATGCATCCTATCCTATATCAAATGGGAACTGACAAAAACGACATATTAGAGTGCCTTGTTCCACGTTGAGGAAATATGATGGATTTGCTTCCTTATGATATGTGCTTCCACCGCAAGGAACATTGTTTCATTTATGCCCTTGAGGGTATGAGAGTGCTTCCCAAATTAAAAATGAAGCAATAGAATGTTCATTGGCCGCAGGCATGCATCGTTGGACGGTCGCCGAAATTGGGACGCTGCTATCCTACCCGGGATCGACATTGACAGCAGGGGGTTGCACGTCCTCCTCAAAGTAGGTATGACTGTAATATCGAGCGCTAGAAAACGCGGACGGCATATCAAAGCCTGGACTCAAGATGGATTATAGCAATCAACCGTGGGCATGGACGCACGAAACGGATGAAACCCAACTCGATGCCGGGTGGGGAGACCAAATCATAGCCCGCAGGCCGGGCTAACGGGGAAACATCCGTATTCTGATGCTCATGTTTTATATAGACACAATCTTGCATCAGCCTATCTTCGTTGTTAGTATTCCAATATGTGTGCCGTATGACATAGACCAACACTGATCAAAAGGCAAGTTGCTCATTAGACGATGCAACTTGCGCTTCATAGTTATCTTGTCGTTAACATCGAAGTGACATGGATATAATCAGGCAGGAAGAGAAACCAGTGTGCGGGGAATGATATCAGATTTAACCAAGGTAGTAATAACAAAGTAGGACACCGCATCATGAGGCATCACACGGAATCCAAATATGCGAAGACACCGACAAAAGGCAATACGACTAGCCCTCTTTCTATTAATGAAGCTTCGATTAACGCCACCTTCGCCACGTACTAACCCTTCCTAAAGCGAGACTCCACTCGGACGGAGAGAAGGGAAAAAACTCAAGAAAGCTGACCTGTATAACGTAGGAAACTGCAAACTCAGAGCAAACCAGCACAACAGAGCCTTCATTATCATATTTCTGTCATTATATAAATTTGGTTGACAAGCTGAATACCTCGCGGTAAGTGAATCTCCAAGGATCCTAGACCATTACGCCTTTGAGATCCAACCACTGTGGACCATGAAATCGAAAATTCGGCTGGATTTTGCGACATCAATCTGTAAAATTCGAGTTTTAGTGACGAGAACTATATGCCAACCAAACATTTCCCACAGCCGAGGGACTGGACTGACCTTGCACATGTTCCTGGCATCCTTTTTCTTCAAACTTCCTCCTTGCTTCATTGCTTCTTTGAGCAAATGCTCTTTGATAACAAGATATGGTTTCGGTTGTAGGTGCAGTATGTTACATAATTCCACTTCCTCCTTTGTTAAGAGATGGATATCTGGCGCCTTGTCGTTCTCCAGCTTCCATGGAGCAAGGCCATTAATCGGAGGTACGACAAATTTCGATTTCGCTGGTTGGGGTGTCATCGTTCCATTAAGATTGCCGCTGGCAAATGCTTTATCAAAATCATTTAGAACGGGAGGGGGATCGACCGGAGCTAACTTCCTTTGTAGTCGTAGGGGAAGCTCGGGCATGGTTAACTGAGCGGCGGCGGAAGGACCTTCGGGCTGCTGTGGTTTAGGTCGCGCACTGGCAAATCGGTCAAATGCTCCCTGTGGCACAGCCCTTTGGGCCCTCTGGGCCTTCTCTTGTTCGTATTTTTCGCCGCTCTTTAGGTCTCCAATTCCCATTGTTCTCCATTCTTGGAGTTGCGCGATCGCTATTCGAAGATTATGCTCATACTCTAGACCTTTGGTAAATTCCTCGAAGTCCTCATGATTTATCATTCTCGCGAATGGCTTTGCTTTATTCAAGAGATCTCGTTCCTCTTTAGTCCGTTTCTTATCCAGCGCGGTATTTTTCCGATAATCCAAGAGGTTGTGTTCAAAGAGAATTTTCTTGCGTTCAGTTCTGGCAGTCAGACGAGAATTATAGATATCCTTCACAGTCATCTTGAGTTCCATTTCCGCGTCCAATTCGCCATTAGCATTCAGGCCGTTTCCAGGCTCGAATTGCATATGCTGGACGGCTTCTTCGGCATCGTTGGCAAATTCGGTCTCAAACTCCAGTCTTCCAGGCATATATCCTTGGACTTCATGGCAAGCAGGTACCGAAGCAGTGGGTTTCTGTTTGGGAGTTGCGGGTGGCGCTGTCTTGGCGGCCTCTTTTCTTTCCTCGATACGTCGCTTTTTGCGAGCTTGGAATTCCTCTTTAGGTATCTGTTCCTGTAAAGTCTTATCTCTGGGATCGGCAAGCTCTGGAAGTGGGAAGTTGGGGCTGTTTATGTACGTTTGAATGTAATGGTCGCGGACTTCCTCCTTTGTACGGTAACCTCCAATATGATCTGCAATGTCGGCCCATGATCCTAGACCGTAGATTTCTGCACCTTCTAGAAGTAATAGCTCTTCGTCGGCGCCCCAGTCAGGGTCATATATGGGGACTGAATTCTGCTCGATCACCGAATACGGATGCGTCCGTGGGTCGTGGTTCTTCGAGTGCTGGCCGGCAGCGAAGCAGGGAACGCAAAGATCATATTCATGGCAAACGCTATGTGCGCATGAAATGCGCACCTGTATCACAGATCGTGGTCAGAGAGAAACGCCCTACTCCCGTAGAAAAGGCAGAGGATCGGAGATGAAAGCTTACCGTGTTGGTGACGTCGACGGAACAGACGTCGCAATGGTACTTGGTACCACCATCTGTGCCGCGCGCCGCATTCTTTTTCCTGATGACACCCATGGAGCCGTCTCCTATCGGATCATTGTCCTCCACCTTTGGCAATATTCTCGAGCCTGCGGCGCGACGTTGAGCGAGGCGAAGTGCCCAGCTCTCGCATCAGCCGACGACAGAACCACCCAAATGATCCGAACCCAAGGCCCCTCACGTATAGACCCAGCGCAAGCAGAAAGAAGAAAATGAAGCGGTGAAATGCTGCTGTTGGGAGTAATTGTTAGTCTTGAGTTGTTTTGACCCCACGGCTGTTTTCCCCGTCACGAATGGGGAGGAGCAAGCGCAGGCACGGGCCGATGAGGTCCATTATGTAATAACGGGATGTTAATTTAAGCGTGTCATTCCTTGGCGGTCTAGCCGCGTCTGGCCAGCGGGAATTCTTGGCAGTGGCGGAACACCCTGAACATCGGAATCTTGGGCTTGGACCACAAATGTTTTCTCTATGAAATCAGGTCTTGTACATCGAACGGAGCACAAGGGTTTGACCCCGACAGGATATTATGAGAGATATCGAGGAAATACTAAAGAAGACAAGCTTTTTAAGATGATAATTAGTTATGTGAACATTGGCTGCTATCAAGGTGAGGATAAGTGGTGGGATCCATGTTCAACCTTCCCCTCCTCTATATCTACAAGGAATAAAATCGATCTCTAACAATTATAGATTAGATCCGCAGCTAACCACATTATTTAACAAATTCAGTATTCTTCCAGGGTCTCAATGTATTTTAGCTCACGAAAATGTCAACACGCTGGGCACTCATCCTGGCCGCTTCTCCAGGAATCTAGCGCGGTCTCCCAGTCCTCCTCCTTGATTATACAATCTCTGCACCGCCAATAGGCATCATTGTCCCTTGGCCGATATGTTGCACAGGAATAGCAAAGACACTAGTAGGTATTCGGTCGGCCGTTTCCATCGAGAGGTTCAACGCGTTCCATCAGGTCTTCCATTGTCGGACAAGTCATATCTCTGGTAACGTACAACTTCACGGGGATGCAGCTGGAGAGGCTGAGGAGTCTCCTGGAAGTGAGTAAAAGAGAGAGTCGGAAGATGATGATCAGCAACTCGTTTGGAAGTCGAAGGAGCCGGGAATTGATGAATGTTGGCGTATCATTGAACTAAAATTTATCAGCCAGACTGGTTGGTCCAGGCTATACCGGATAGGGATCGAACGACTCGCTGTACGTACTCTTTTTGGGACAACGAATGTGTGTTCACAGTGGCATGGAGGATGGTCTAGCTTTTCCATGTGCGCAAGTAGGGAGTTGTGACGTTGAGAAAGGCTTTTTCCGGGAGGCAATTGTCGGATAGTAGTACGACAATCCAGGAGCAAAATTTATTCGGGTATTCTGGAATAAATGCAGCTATGGACTGCGAAGCATTTACTTTCCCCTGGCGGTTCAGCGCGTTGATATATGGCTCTGGCAGGCTCACTTTAGGACATCCACAATTGCCAACAAATAAAGAAGGCAAACTAAAGATTCTAATTGATTCCGACCATGACAATGCACCGGGCAAATTCATTCAACATGGAAATGGCTTCTCTACTCTGTAAATGTTCCTGTTTTGATCTGCTGCTTTGGAGAAAGAAGAAACTGACCCTGTTCGGTCCAAACAGATCCTCTTTGCTTGCTGCTCTCTCATAAGACTGGCATTTGTGTATATTAGATCTCATGTGGCAAGCAAATCAGCCTTGTAAGCTCTAGATCATTTAATACTGGACTTCTTGACTAGATTTGAACTGTTCTTCCCATCTTGCTGGGCTTTTTGTTGAAGATCTAACTTTGCAGTCTCACCGAAGTACGCTTCTTGCACCTTGGGTGTCTTATGCAATTTAAGCAGTATTTGAGGATAAACTGATTGTGTCCAGCCTTTATGGGATATTTTGGTGGGAATAATGATTCAGGAAATAAGCATTGGCCCAAGCCTAGTGCAACGAAATAGGGGAGGCACAGTGAAAGATCACTATGCTGGAGTGTTAGTTTAGGGGTTGACTACTCCGTACAGAGTACGGAGTACGGAATTTGAAATTAGAAGTAGAGAAAAGGCCTCACTAAGAGGAGAAATTGTATTTCGGATGTATTGGCGCACGTACCAATCATCCAAACCTGGTGTATTGCTGAGGCTGTCTAACACAAAAAAGGAATGAGGAGCGAAGGTCTGGATGCCTGTGCTTTAAAGTATAGGCAGAACTTAGTGCCATAGATATAGATATATTAACTGCAATACGGAGTACGGAGTACTTCGTAGAAGATTCGTATCCCCTGCGTCCCTTCCCATGTGGAGGATTCCCCCCTCTCCCCCTTTTCCCTTTTTTTTTTTTTTTTTCCAACGGGCGAGCGTCCAAATAAACACCCGAGCTACTAGCTAACCAGTCGCTTACTCAACCGTGATGGCATTTTGCCCGAATTCGCGAGCAGGGAGCACAGGCAGATGGATAGCTCGGTGCTCTGTATGTAAGATGGAAGCGTTGTCAACGAGGGATACGGTTGCATCCCTGAAGGATTAGAGCCATAGAACGCGCTTTCAAGAGTGTCTCGTGCTGTTTCCTGAGGCCAATCCATGGATAGCTTCGTCCCGAGCCGTCATGGATAGGGTATGCCAGCCACCTTGGGATATGATAATCTTCCCTTAAGAGCCCGAGGCATGGACCGGGTGAAAACTTTTGTCAACGAAGAGTTGGGGGCAGGTGAGAGGGGCAGCGTGCAACCCTGGCTTTTTGCCTCTTCAAGAGGAAACACCATCATGCAGCATCAAGGGTCTCGAGATGCACGTAATTCCTTGACATCGTTTGACTCGAATTGCTTTAGGGCTCGGGTGAGCCAGCGTCATCCACCGCCCGCGAGAGCGACAGGGGCGGGTATTATTACCGGTTCCACTGCGCTGGAGTGGCCCAACCGGAGGCGAAACCGCATGATTGGCCAACAGGTGTGGCTGAGAAGAGCGACGCTCGTAGTTTAGCGCGCCTTTATTGGTGGATCTCGGGCTGCCCCCCTGTAATTTACCTGGATTACATAATGGCGACAGGAAAATGAATACAGGCCCCATACGAGCACCGCTCACCATAATACGCCCTATCATATCACTTGTGAGAGAGTGACGAGGAACCAGCAATTTCCCCCCTCCCCTATCTTGACGGCTCGCATCAAGGCTCTGGAACTGTTGAACAGCAGCGCCGGCAGAGACCTTGGAGAGGTCCAGAACTGTCGATTCCTGGTCTTCTCTGGCGACTTGTGCTTCCCTCATTCATCTTGTTCCCATTTACTCTGAACCCAACTGCACCTGAGGGGATCCTCACCTTGTCAGCCGCAGGTGTATTGAAACACATTCCAAGTGAAACCCCTTCTGTTTAAAACAACCTCACCGACGACTAAGCAATCCCTCTTCCCTTCTCGTCTACTGTCTCCATGCATAGTTTCTTTCAGTCTGACAATATGTCGTGGAAAATCACCAAGAGTATGGCATTCCCCTCATCCTTCTTTCAGTCCGAACTTTGCTTCGGTCTGTTGCTCTTTGCCCGCATTTGCTGACTACAACTCCCCTCAGAGTTGAAGGAAACCCATCTGGCCCCTCTGGCCAATTCTTTCGGTCGATCCTCCTCTACCTCTACGATTAAGCCTGATCCTGTTGACGAGACTTCATCCGTGCCGACTCCAAACATCCTGGTTTCCACTGCTAATAATGGCATCGGTGAGTTTCTCACCTTGCTCCTGTCACGGAGAATTTCAGTGATCCCAGGCCACTAACGACTGAATATATTCACAGCTGCATCTGAAGCCCTAGTGTCACCTCCAGCTACTCCTGTGAAGCCTGGAATCTTGATTGTTACCCTTCATGAAGGCCGTGGTTTCTCACTTTCCAACCACTATCAGCAAATCTTCAACTCCCATTTCCAAAACAACTACACAGGACCGGTTAGGCCGAATTCATCCTCGTCTCACACAGGTCACAACCCAGTTTCCAGTTCTTACACTCAGACCAGTCGACCACAATCCACCAGCGGTGGTATTAACGCTGCTCCAACCAACCATGGACGCTATTCCACCAAGTATTTGCCATACGCGCTTCTCGACTTTGATAAACTCCAAGTTTTCGTCGATGCTGTGTCTGGAAACCCCGAGAACCCTCTTTGGGCTGGAGATAACACTTCATTCAAGTTCGACGTCTCTCGTGTCACCGATTTAAACATCCAATTGTATCTACGAAACCCTGCTGCTCGACCTGGCGCCGGCCGAAGTGAGGATGTGTTCTTGGGAGCTTGCCGGATACATCCTTGCTTCGAGGAGCTTCCAAAGAATGCCGATGACTCTAAGGGTAGCAAGAAAGATCGCGAAAAGGGGCCTGCAAGTCAGCAGAGCCGTCACCGTTTGCATTCCGGCACGGAATGGATAGACTTGCAGTTTGGTACTGGATCCCTCAAGATTGGTGTTTCATTCGTTGAAAATCGGCAACGAAGTCTCACCATGGAAGACTTTGACTTGCTCAAGGTCGTTGGCAAAGGTAGTTTTGGCAAGGTTATGCAAGTCCTGTGAGCTACTTGCTTTCGTCAACCGGGTACTTTCTAGAAAGTGGTACTAATACATTGTTTAAGGAAACGCGATACGGGACGAATCTATGCTATGAAGACTATTCGCAAGGCTCATATCATCTCACGCTCCGAGGTCGAGCACACATTAGCTGAGAGATCCGTCCTTTCCCAGATTAACAATCCCTTCATTGTCCCACTCAAGTTTTCATTCCAATCTCCAGAAAAGCTCTACCTTGTCCTTGCCTTCGTGAATGGCGGTGAATTGTTTCACCATCTCCAGAGGGAACAGCGTTTCGACATCAACAGGGCCAGGTTCTATACTGCAGAGCTATTGTGTGCCTTGGAATGTCTACATGGGTTCAATGTTATTTATCGTGATCTTAAGCCCGAAAATATTTTGCTTGACTACAGCGGCCATATTGCTTTGTGCGACTTTGGTCTTTGCAAGCTCGATATGAAGGATGAAGATCGTACTAACAGTAAGTTGCCAAGTCAAATGTCTCCGACCCTGCACATTGCTGACATTTTTTTTTTTTCTCACAGCTTTCTGTGGAACTCCCGAATATCTTGCTCCGGAGCTTCTCCTCGGCCTTGGATACACCAAAGCTGTTGATTGGTGGACCCTGGGTGTTCTCCTCTATGAGATGTTGACTGGATTGCCACCATTTTATGATGAAGACACCAACGAGATGTACCGCAAAATTTTGCAAGAACCGCTTACTTTCCCAAGCTCTGATATTGTTCCAGCTGCTGCTAGAGATCTCTTAACCCGACTCCTTGATCGTGACCCGCAACGCCGCCTGGGAGCCAATGGTGCCGCTGAGATCAAAGCACACCACTTCTTTGCGAACATCGATTGGCGCAAATTATTGCAGCGCAAATATGAGCCTAGCTTCCGACCAAATGTGGTATGTAGCTTTAATGTTTATCTCCAGTCCTAAAAAATTCGATTAAAGACATATCTCCTAACTGCACTTCAGGTTGACGCCCGTGACACTGGGAATTTCGATAGCGAGTTCACCTCTGAGGCTCCAACTGATTCTTATGTCGAAGGCCCCATCCTTTCCCAAACTATGCAGAAGCAGTTCGAAGGCTGGTCCTATAATCGCCCAGTTCCTGGGCTTGGCGATGGCGGAGGCAGTATCAAGGATCCAGCTTTTGGCAGCATCCCTGAATAGTCTCATATAATAATTATTTGACCGGACGAGATTATCTGGCGAAGTCATTCCCAATTATTTCGTTGAAATAACTTTCGACTAACTTTTGGTCCTGGGATGAGTACTTGCTTTTTGCTCCTAACCTCGCCTCTACTTGTCTTTTCGCTCTACCCGGTCCATGAGGGGCCTCCAGGCTAACTACGAGTTGGGACGATCTCGCGTCGCGGCTGTGGCTCTCGCAAATTTTCAAAGACCCTCAATTGATAAGGCCTTCAATAACATCTTTGCCCCTTGTTTTCCGCGAGCACCAACCATGAATGTGCCTTTATTAACTTGGCGACAAAAGCTTAACGCGTTTGTGTTTCCAAGTGAATAACAACAGGCATTATTTGCAAGAGAAAGAAAACACTAAGTCACAGTTACAGTTCTAGATATTTCATTCACCTGCGGTCTCATTTGTTTGTCTCTTATTATCTCGCTACCCCAGATACATCAGTTCTGTTAGCCATCTTTGCTCTCACGACTCTACTTCGCCGCTGAGCTTTTCTTTTGACCTCATTGTTAGCCCTCAGCAAATCCTGCCAACGATGCCGCTTTCTTTGTGATTCCTGGGGCTTTTATGGATTTACACCCAGCGTGGCCCTTTTTACGTAGCATGCTTTTTGCCTTTCTTCCCTCGAGTGTATCGGAGTACGAGATTGATACTTTCCCTTCTTTTTTTTTCCGCCCCCCTTTTCCCATATTGAGCCAGCAGTATGGATTAAGCCCTGGGGGGGTTCTCATTGTTTTAAGCTGGTTTAGCAAACACACCCTAACAAATACCAAGAGATTTGTAGACCTACTGTATTTTAGACCGATTCGTCGAGTACACGGAGTACACTACTTTTCCCAAGCTCCAAGTAATAAATCTATATGTATTCTCATGAGGTCCACCAAAGCATATGAGGCTACACCACATACTCTCTTGAAAAAGGGGAAGGCAGACTGAAAACAAAAAAGCCGAATTACCTCACAATACGAAACGAACATAATCCTCAAGTTCAGTTAAAATGAAGTAACGGGGATAATAAAATCGAAGGATCATTTACAACCGGGGGCCTTGCGTCATCAAGCCTCTTCAGCGTCTTCGTAAGCCGGCGTTTCTGCTTCCCCATCGTCACCAGCGTCACCAGTGTCATTATCATCACCATTAACATCAATCAGGTCCTCCGCACCACATTCAAGTTTCAGATACTCATCCCACTCCGGAAACAACTCCTCATCCGCGCCATCTACACCAGGGGGGACACCGAGAGTCCTAGCAACTTTGCCCTTGCCATTCTTCTCGAGACTCTCCTTCCAGCGCAGCACTAAATCTGGTGTTCGACTTGGTTTATAAGTCTGAGAGAGAAGGACGGCCTCTGTAACGCGGTTGGTTTGGACAAGTAAATCTATACAGCCATCCATGTCGCCGAGTTGCCAGAGCGCAGAGAAGACAACGTTATGAGCACCTGATTCTTTAGCTCGCTCTGCTAGATTACGGAGGCCATCGGTGTTGCAGCTAGAGGAGTGGAGAAGAAGCAAGGAGCCTAGATCCTTGGCGTGAGTGAAGCATTCTTCGGCAAGAGAAAGATCCCAGGCATTCATAGCGGCATCACCGACAGTCTTCCATCGGTGCTCGACGTCTGCTTCACGGGCAATTTCGAGAGCGATAGCAAGTTTTCCTAAGCTAAGGGAGAGTTCAAAACGGTGTTCTTGATCAGTGGCGACATCAAGGGCGAGGTCTTTGTATCCTTGGCCTTCTAAAAATCGAGCGATCTTATTCATTTGATCTTGGGGAATATCGGGCAAGAGTTCACTTGCGGATTCCATGTCACCACGGAGAACCAACGTCTGGTATTCAACAACCGCAAGGGAGAGTGAAAATGAAACAGTGGTCAGATCCTTGTCGGCGAGGTATATTCTTCCATCTCGAGGAAGATAGCCTAGGAGATACATTGGCTGGTCGAAGTGGGAAATTGTGTACGTTTGATCACCAACAAGATAGTTCAATCGATTGGTTGAGTTGGTATAAATAAAGCAGTCTCCAACCCACTCTCCAGTGCGAACAGTGTCGTTGATATCGGTAACGATCTCAAAGGCTGCTTCCACGCCATCTTCATCAACTTCCCCGGCATTCACAGCAGCTATATAGTTTTCCCGTGAAAACCGTAGAACGTAGAAGGTATCGTCACAAGCAAGGGTAACTAGCTCTCCGGACTCCGACCAATATACCTGTATAGTAGTGAGAAAAAAAGTGTCTTTAGGGATGGAAGGCGGAGACACATACTGCTTTGGGGTCAACCTCGATTCTTCTGACAAGGCCGCCAGATTCCCAGTCAAACATGCCAATTCCACCTTGTCCTTTAACTCCAAGCAAAACACCACTGCAGAGGCCTTCTGCTTGGAATCCAACATCAAGGCCTCCGCTCTTCTCCTTGAAATTGCGGAATATCTTCACACTGGTTTGAGACTCCCTGATTGCATAGTCGTTGCTATTGTCTTTAGAACCCCATGCAAAGTCAAGTGCCTGACCAAATGCCTTGTTTCTCCATGCAAGAGCAGTGTAGATGATATACTCGCCGTCACCACAGACAGATACAAATCTCCCGTTCGGTGAGTGCATCAAGCTTTGGGGATACACTTCACAAGAACCAAGCTCTTTGACCGGCAGTGTAAGTGGAGCTCCGTCTTTGAGAGTCGCATCGCCGCCCTTTATAACTGTAGAGACCACCTCATTATGGCGTGCCCAAACAATCTTTCCGGATCCGTCCATTGACACGGCTGGCTCCTCTCTGCCCATTTTCACGACCACAGCACCATCGTCAAAGCCCATCGCAATTCCCTGTTTTCCTCGCTGATAGCTCACACACCACGCTCTTTCCAAGCCATAGCTTAAAGATTGCTCCAGTCTATATGTATTAGCGTTCCAAATCTTAATAGTTCCATCTTCCGAACCGGATATGATAATTGGGAGTTCAGGGTGGTAACAGGCGAAAGAGACGTTGCTGGTATGGCCTTCTAATGTTGCGATCAATGCCTTGGTAGTATAATCCCACACTTTCACGGTCCTATCGTCGGAAGTAGTCAAGAGATATGGCTTGTCAGCGTGTGGGTAATATTCAACGTGATTGACACCCTTTGCTTCATGAGCTTCAAGTGTGAGGTTGGGGTGCGGTGAACCCAGACTCCATATCTTGACCGTTCGATCCAGGCACGCCGAGGCAAATGTGTTCGAATCCTTCGGGTTAATAGCCAAACCCATAACGTAGTGGCTATGTCCTTCGAATACCTGCACACATTTCCATGCTTTATCCCAATCCCAAAGTCTGACAGTCATATCATCGGAAGCGGTTAATACGAATGGATGGGTGGGGTGTACTGCGATGGATCGAATATAATCGGGGTGAGCCTCGAACGAGATTATTTTCTCGGAAGTGTTATAATTGTAGACGCGTAATTGAAAATCATCGGAACCGCAGACGATCCAATTCTTTCTCGCAATGAAGCGCCCGGCTCGCACGGGGACATCTGTAAGTTCGAATGTTTTGACGATGGACTAGAAGCGATATTAACAACCAGAATCCGCGAGCCCAGACAAAGCGCCTACCTGTGTCTCATACGACCAGATGTAAACATGGCCTGTCGAAGGTGTCAGTATCGCATTAGCGGAGAGTGATTCGTTTTATATGCAGCATACCGCTGTATAAAGTGGTTAATATCTGCCCTGGTTGTTAGAACTAGTATCTACAACCCCGGAGGTACCCTGACTTACCCATGGCTCTGTAGGATGGAAGTCGATTCCCTTGACCCGATTCGATCGGGCGAAGAGTTGTCTCTAAATTTCAAGTCACTACAAATTCATTTCGAGGCTGGTTACCGGAATTAAGCTCACCTTGACGTCGAATCGCATAGTGGCCGACCTCACTGGGGATTGAGTGGATGAAGCGTGCGGCGGCTCAGCCGCAGGAACAATGGCACTCCTTTATTCCGAGGAAGAATTGCGGCTTGTTAGTTGGCTTGACTATGCCCTGTGGATGATCAAGGAAAGGAGATATAAGTATAGAATGGTAATTGATGTTGGTCTGAAGTTGTTGCCTCTCATCAACAATGCAACTTGTCCACACAAGGAGACTTGCGCACTCAATTTCTTGATGTTCCGCCCAGCTGTCCAAACTAGGTTAAGCGTCATATCTGGCACCAAGACGCACCCTTATCGCCTGATTGCAGATGCACAGTTTGATCAAACATTCCAGCCCTTAAATAGAATTGAATTTATGTTTGAGCTGTGATTGATTTGGCTAGGAGGCTGCATAAATATACATATGTGTCTTTGAAGACAGGCCACCGACACGTTGCCAATCGGTCGATGCCAGAACCAAGTATAAGAAATCAGACTTTGACAACCGCTAGTACAGTCTTCGATTTGTATGGGGCACCAAAGATTCAATATGATATAATGTACATAGCATCCAAATGTGCCGATTACGACAGGGCACATGTGATAATCCTATAAAAGCAGACAAGCCGTTCATCTACCAGCCCAGTCTGCCGCTGCTCCTAACACCGCACTGTAAACCCTCTAGGACTCTTGGGAGGTTCCTCGTTCAAAATAGGTCCATTGTCCCGGCTTAGGTTTCTCTTCGAGCTCCTCCCAACTAAATACTGTCAGCATCTGGAGGATTTTTTGGCCAACATTGGCATTCACTTACACTCTGTGCTTGACCATTTCATCGACCAACCCTAACTCGGCTTGCGCGGTTTGAATAACCTCCTCGATTAGGCCACTGCCAATTTGCTGCTCGATTTCGGAGATCCTGCTTGGATTAGCCGCATTCATTACATTCAGCGGGAAAGAACTTTAAATCCAAACATACTGCGCTGCTTCAAGAGCTGGTTCTGGTTCCCATGACAATTTAGGCTCCAATTGCTTATTTGCTTCTTCCTGGGCTTCCTTAACCCGGGCCTCCATCTCTTGCTCGTTAAGATATGCGCCCTCCAATTGAGGGTTGAACGGTTCTCCGGACCAGTCTTTCTCCTCCTTTGGCTTCTCCTTTTGTTCGTATGCAGCGTAGGAGCCGTCTGGTCTTAAAGCAGTTTTATAGGCCTCCGGATTCTCCGCAACAGCCGCTTTAACTCTCTGAAGCCAAGAATCGAAACCGGGGGGTTTCACCGACTGGACGACGTTTAACCGGTGGCGTGTAAGCGCTTCTGTCGATTGACGATATACGGACGATTCAGGAATAGTCTTGAGCTTGTCTAGAGTCGTTTGGTACAGGTAGATGAGAGTTGGTCGGGGACTGGGGTGCGTGTTAAGGCCGGTGAGACCGGTGGGCGCGAACGGCTCTAGGTATCTGCCCGGCTTAACATTTGCCAGCAATCTTAGTGTCGCCCTCATGATTGTAATCTGGATAAAACAGGCAGCCCTGGATCAAATCAATGGCTCGCCGTGCTGCGGGTTTCAGGCCTCTCCGTCGTCGACAATGACCGATGTCTGTGTGTGTAGTTATTGGCCAGCGGAAGGTCGGTTACGTAATCGAGGGCCACGAGTCTCGGAACAGGATTAATTCGGGATCCGAGCCTAGATCTCAAAAGCGAAACGTTGATCGTTCAGTTCAAGGGGAAGCAGTCGAAAGCAAAACAACCTTCGTTCTATCCACCGCGCGGCAGAACAGAAGTCTGTTTGGCGTTGCTTAGCAGGTCCTGTCTATCCTCTCTTTTCCCACGTACGCGGTGCCCACGAAAGTCCGGAATTCATTGCTTGCGTTTCCGGTTCCCCGACCCCAAGTCCAGCTTTCCAACTTCTTCAATCGGACGAACTTCACACTCAGAGCTGGAGTTTGAGCTGGCCTTGGCCTGATAGGCCATTGAATCTTTCTTCAATATGAAGGCCAGCTTTTTGGCCTTCTCCCTCCTTGCGGCTGTCTTCCAGCCAGTGTTTGCTGCATCACACGGCCTGGAGAAAAGTGCGGACGCCAAACTTGAGAATGATGCTTCAGATAGAACGACAATATTTCACGATGTGCGGGTACCGCCTATGAAGGAAGTAGATGCTGCCGGTTTCGATGAGACTATCAAGGATGGATATTGGTATGTATCCTCGAACTTGAGCTAATCTAGTGTTGCTGATGGTGTCCTTTTCCTATTAGGTTTGTCAAATTCTACTCTCCTTACTGTCATTTTTGCAAGGCTGTCAGGCCCGCATGGCAGACTCTTTATGAATTTTACTATGTGCGTGCTGTCCTTAATGGTTAGTCCTCAAATACTCACTTCTGGCAGACATCGAATCCATTGAAATCTTCAACTTCGAAACAAGTGCCCAATCCCGAGTCCTCCCTTAATTCCTTCCAGGGTTATTACGACTTTCACTTTGCGGAGATGGATTGCGTTGTAAATGGTGACAAGTGTCAGGAGTTGGAAGTCAAGGAATGGCCGACTTTTGCACTGTATCATGATGGCAAGCTGGTCGAGAAATATAATGGTGAGAGGAATATGGAAGGCCTGAGCCGCTTTGTCGAAAAATGGTTGGAATCCATTAAGCCTGGCTCGCGGCCTAGAGGTGAAATGAAACTTCCGGAACCTGGTGCCAAGATCGTTCCCGAGCAACCAAAGGACAAGGAGGACGCTATAATTGGTGAACCCGACATAAACGCTGGAAGCTCAACGTCTGCCACTTCCCAGAAGTCAGATGATTCTGTAAAACCTGCTGCGCCTGCCCTCCCCGAGAGGAAACAACCTGCTCCCAACCCGCAGGGAATGTCGGTTCCTTTAACAGCCGAGAGCTTCCAAAAACTTGTTACCACAACGAGAGACCCATGGTTTGTGAAATTCTATGCTCCATGGTGCGTTCATTGCCAGGCCCTTGCCCCTATCTGGAGCCAGATGGCCAAGGATTTGAAAGGCAAGCTTAATATAGGCGAGGTAAATTGTGAGGTGGAGAAAAGACTCTGCAAAGATGCCCGTGTCAATGTCTATCCGACGATGTACTTCTTCCGGGGAGGCGAGCGCGTTGAGTATGAAGGCCTTCGGGGTCTCGGTGACTTGGTGAATTACGCGAGGAAAGCCGTTGACGTCGTCGGCTCGGGCGTCCAATACGTGGACGCTACGGCGTTCAAAAAGATGGAAGAAACTGAAGAAGTTATTTTCTTATATTTCTTTGACCACGCCACTACGTCCGAAGACTTCGCTGCGTTGGACCGTTTAACCCTTAGCCTCGTCGGGCGTGCCCGTCTTGTCAAGACCAACAGTACTATCCTTGCCGAGAGATTTAAAATATCAACATGGCCCAGGCTCCTTGTGTCGAGAGATGGTAGACCAAGTTACTACACTGCGCTTGCACCTAAGGATATGAGAGACTTCCGTCAGGTCCTCGCATGGATGCAGAAAGTGTGGCTACCAATTGTCCCAGAAATGACGGCATCTAATGCTAAAGAAATCATGGAACGAAAATACGTCGTCCTCGGCATTCTCAATAGACAGCGATCCGATGAATTCATACAAGATAAACGGGAATTGAAGAACGCAGCACTAGAATGGATGGAAAAGCAGACAAAACTATTCCAACTGGAGCGTCAAGAACTTCGCGATGCAAAAGAGCTACGGATTGAAGAAGCTGATGACCGAGATGACCAGAGAGCTTTGAGAGCCGCTAAGAATACACGCATTACGATCAAAGAAGACGATAAGAAGCAAGTTGCTTTCGCCTGGGTTGATGGTATTTTCTGGGATAGATGGATCAGAACGACATATGGCATCGATGTGCGGAATGGAGAGCGTGTCATTATTAACGATGAAGAGGTATGTTTATATCCTACATATTGCTTTTAAGGTCCCAGTCGACGGTGATAGAATGGGTGCTAACCCTGCTCTCACCTTAATAGAACCGCCGATACTGGGACACGACTCCTAACGGAGGCTTTATCGTCCCCAGCCGGACCTCCATTTTGGAAACCATCACACACGTCGTTTCAAACCCGAGCAAACTCAAATCCAAGTCCACCGTCGGTACTTTTGAGGGTCTTTTCTTTTCTATCCGTACATTTACCTTCGCTCATCCAATCATCACGTTTTTATTATTCGTCGCTGTTCTTTTCGTCTCGTCTTTTATTGCTAGAGGCAAACTTCGAAGAGGTAGATCCGCAGGCGGCTTGTTAGGCAGTGTTGGCGGTAGCTCTGGAGGATTCTTTCACCTTGACGGAAAAGAAGGCCTCCTTGGTGGAGGCAGTGGAGGTGGTAAAGTCGATTGACAAACGTGAACTTCGACATTTACCCATTCTCCATATTAACCTTTTATACTATTATACTTTCTGTGATAATATTGCAAGGTTGAGCTTCTCCCTTTTACGCTGTTATATTTACCTGGTGTGTAGTTTTTTCCATTAATTGGGGGTTTTTGATGTTTTCAGTCATATTGTTTTGGAGATGTATACGAAAACATTGAGAAGGCTGGAACAGGAGTATAATTGATCGGACCCTTCCTCGTTTTCGCCTTTCTAATGCATTTTTTTCAATTTTCAGCTTTTTCTTCTGTCTGTCCTCCTTATTCCAGTTCCGCGTCTCTACATCAACGATTCTCCCTGTCTGAATAGAGTTCCACCACAACTTAATGAATACCGGTCACTGCTTTCGTCTCGCTGTGTAACTACGCGGTTCATGCCAATCGGGATTGGTATTAGGCCAGGGGTCTTCAGGATAAGAGTTTGTATACAGAGAACTTGGGAATTCACTTATAAACACCGCAGTTTAACCTCGAGGTGGACTGGGTTATCTAGTTCGCTCTTGTGCTTGTTCTGCTATATTAACAATCATCGGGAACTGGTATCATCTACAAAATCGGACAGGCATTAACTTTTCCTTACACCAAATCATATCTCCACCCCCTAAATTTGGGTAGGGGAAAACAGAAACCCATCGGATAGGTGGTAGAGCAACTGCTCTTGGAAGGCCGAATCTCCCACGGGCATGATGGGTTCTCTGGGAATTTGCAAGCCACGGATGCATACCTGGAAAACCAGGAAGTCCACTTCTGGAATTTACGGAAGAGATCCCGGTTCCAAAAGTAGACATTGGCACTGCTATAGACGACAAGGTAGCTCTATGCCACGGTTTCGATCCGGTCTGAAAGAAGATTTGTATTCATAGCGTCCGGTCTGCGAGCCGAGTATTATATAGATCAGGATAGGCAGGTCGTTTTTGGGTTGTTGTAGGGAAGTAATAACTCGGTATGCTGCTGGAACGCCGTGGGTGGAGTGCCAAACAACCTTTATCCGGCTGCACTGCTCCCGGCAGTGATGAGCAAGTCAATCTCCAGGTAAGATGGTTGTAGTATCGGCGAAGAATCGCAAGTTTGCTCTCGCCAACGCCGAGTCCAGCCTCCAGTATAACTAATTCGAGAGAGTCATATCCCTAAACCACAGCCATTCCAACATTTTTAGAAATCAGGAATTGTCCCAAAAGTCCGGATGATATTATCGACAGCCTTTCTCCAAATCACAAAGCACCGGCTGGGGCATTCATTTCGGGCAAGATCGACAATAATGGATCGACAATGTCATACAATCAGACGCTTGGTCACACAAATTCAAAGAGGATATGTCAAGACCTTAATCCGGCTGAGCCCCGGTTAAGTGCTCCGGGCGGCCGGAGGTGGCCCAGTCAGGGCAAGACATCACGGGCTTCGTTGAAGCACACTGGTCACGGACATGGTTTTCAACCTGCATTTTTCTTTCTCTAAATCTGCCTGTGCTAGATGTCATGAGTCAAGGTTCATGGAGAGGTTAAGTCATTCAGAAGCTTGATTCTTGTTCTGATGTCTCCTGAAATAAGGCGTACCCCTGTAACTGGTTCAGGAGGGAGGAGAAAACTCCGCCAGCCCGTGACTGCGCCGCAAAGAAGTCAGAAATTCAGGTAAATGTCAAACTAATCGGGATCAATAGCATCGAGTTGTTTCGGGCTTTGGGTTCCGCGATGATGCATGAACCTAACGGGTCAGCCTCCAAACAAGGCAAACAAGGAATGACCCTGCAAAGTCCAGCCAAAATTTCAACCAACTTGCGCACAGGACAGCTGCGAATATTCACTCAATCATACATCTCACGTTCTAGCTTGAAAGCTACATACCGCAGACTACCTACATGACATATCCTCATAACTGCATCCATCCACAATCCCGAATCTCAAATTCAATAAAAGGGAAATTCCATTTCCATCGCTTTCTCTCAAAGCACCATCCGTATGGAAAAACCAAGAATGACGGATGAGCAGTCAAGCATCAACAAGCAAACCCAAAGATGCAGTATCCTCCAAAACTCCAAGATCCATCCCCCCGAAAAGTAGAGGGGAGAAATACTCCGTACCAAGGGTGGTGTTAGAAGAAAAGCGAAGAAGAACACGAATAAATATCCCACCGAAGAAGAAAAGAAAAGGAAAGAAAAGACAAAATGGGGAAGGACTCTGAAAATGGGGGTATAAAAGGGAATATATGAAAGATGAATGCCCTGATATGCATACAAAAATCCGAGTTCCTTGCAACTATGCTGAATGCTCTGGTGTCTTTTTTGCATAAAAAGGAAATTTTAAAAAAAAAGCTGAAACGAGGAAAGGCAGGAGGAAGGAAGATCATGATGAACGGGGAAAAAGGAAGAAGGGTAAGTGGTCGGGATGTTGGGTAAAAAATAAATATTATGGGCAGAGAGAAATTCCATAATAATGGCAGCGTTCTCTCAAAAGAATGAAAAACGCCCCCGAGGTCAACTTGGGTCGCGTATCATAATACAGATAAAACGAATGGAGGAAGAGTTAAAACGGAGGTGAACCTCTTTTGAAGAATGTCCCTTAACATTGATCGGTCAGTGCGCGGTACATGTGTGAGACGGAAAAGCTGGAGGTACCAAAAAAGAAGGGGAAAAGGGATCAATGATGGAAACTTACAATGGCTAATTTAGTTCAAGCCCCAAGAGATGAAGGCTTAGGATGAAAGAAGGAATTGTGGCCTTTTCGCAGTTTAATTCCATGATGCTCGTTCCGTCGGTACCGCCGTTATGGTAAGTGACGCTCCCAGGGCCGAATTCTCATTAATTTAGTCATCTTCTTGCTTCCCACTAATGTCCAATCATATCAACAAAAAGTCCCATCCATTCTTTTGCATGACATCCCGCCAATGGACGGTATTCTGGCCGTTGATAGATTCCATGGGTATGTGCTCTGGAGACTGCTGCTGGTATTGTCCATCCTCAGTCTTGATCGCGACTACGTCATTCTGACTCGCATCGTTAAGTTGCGAATCCTCAACGACTCCATCCGCAGCGCGCCACACCTCCTGCAGCAAACGCGCCATACGGCCGAAACTTCCAAACTCAGCCTGTTCACCGAGCTGCTCCATGCGTCTGGCGAGCACGGAGCGGAAGGGGCTGTTCGGCACGGAGTATGATCCACAGATAAGTAATGGCCAGACGAGCGAGCGGTCAAAGCCACCTGGTCCGCCGGGGATTAATTCAAGGAGCTCACCCGCGCGAGCGATGAGGTTGAGGGTGCTGGGCTGGGTGCGTTGGAATCCAGGGACAAGGCTGCAGAGGTATATCCGTGCAGCAATGCAGAAAAGTGCCGTCATATTCTTCACAAGCTGGCGGGGCTGGAACGTTCCGTCGGCGCATGGGTCGGCGATCGATTCTGCTGGAGGCTCCGCCTGGTCGAGTTGCTTGGCGAGAGTGGTTATATGGCCACAAAGTCCAAGGTGGTCGATTCGTCCTTCGTTTTTGAGAGCGTCGAGGCATGAGATTTCGGCAATTAGGTACATTATTCGATCTTCGCATCCCATTAGGTCGCAGAGTCCCGAACTAGAACCGTTGAAGAGCTTTGTTCGATAGGTATGTGCAAACTGTGGCATCTGACCGAGCATTGTGGAACCTAGGATATCGATCCAAGCAGAAAGGCTCATGTTGAATGGCGGATGTACATTGACTTGGTCCGCTTCGATTAGCCGACGAGAAAGGTCGAGTTTGTGAACAAGGCTCGTCGCTGCTTGGAAGTGCTGGTGCCAGGGAATATCGGGGAGCGAATCGTCTGGTCGGCCAACAGCGCACTGGAAGAAGATCATTGCAAGCGTCGCTTCGAGGATATCACTGTGGTTAGTATCTTCGTTCAGTGCCTTACAGAGCTCTGAGACAGTCTGATAACGGTGTCTCAAAATTTCATTGTCGATCGACTCGCTGCTTAATTGCTGCGTCGCTTTCAAGTGGACGCCAGTACTGCTCAGGCAGCAGTGGAGATAGCACTTGTTTGATTCTATCGCGGGTAGTATGACCTCCGACCGTACTGCGCCTGGGCGCTTCGCTTCCAGGATCGGAAAGATTAGACGCACGACTTTCTCGAAGAAATGATCCAGTAGTGGACGGTCCCGATCCTCGACGTGAATGGTGGAAATGTGAACTGGAGCATGGGTGAACTGGAAAGGACTATGGTCAGAAAGCCCGCTATAGAAAGGGTCTGAATGGCCCTCTAAGAACTCTTCTTCCGACCATTTATCGTCAGAGAGAGGAGGTAACATGGAATGCGGTAATGTAGGCTGGAACATGCTGAATGTGGACGTGGTGGATTCTCTCCGAGTTGGAATATCGTTCACATACACCTCATTTTCGGTTTTGATGTCGATCTCGTATGGCGCGGCGGTCCAGAATGGGGCGGATTCGAAGAGTGGGTTTTGAAGTTGAGAAGTGAGAGAATCGAGGGGGTCTTGCGGGTGACATTGACTGAATTCATGTTCAAATGGGTACTGTGGCTCTAGGGAAGGATCGCGAGTCTGAACCATTCCATCGATGAAGGTCTCCGGGGTGGGAGCTGAATGCGACAGGGCTGGCGGAGTGTATGTGCAAGCTGCTGATGAACGAGCGGCCGAAGAAATTCCCCGCTCATTTAGCTTGGTGTTTTTGATGAGCTCCTTGATTAATTCCTTGTGGTTCCTGCGCTGGTCGTTGTTCCCCCACCACATTGGCCGTTTATATTCACATTTCAGTTTCAGGTTTCGGCAGGCCTTGCATACCGGTTTACCTTCGTCACACTTCTTTCTTCGAAGACGGCAGGTGAAACATCCTAATTGGGAGGTACATAAGTCTTCTAGCCACCTTTACTAAGTTTTTTTGTTGGTTTGTTGAGGCTTACCGGACCGAGACCTCTTGTGTAGCCTTTCTCCTTTTTTAATTGGAGTATCTTGTGAACTTGTCTTGTCTGATATTCTTGAGGAAGGTTTGCGTCCCTTTCTCGTCGTTTTGGGTTTTGACTTATCAGCGGAGGCAGCCGTTATTGAAGGTGGAGGCGTGGGAGCCTGGGTAGACGGAGCAAGGGGAGGATACGACATTGTTGCTGCTGAGATAGGGGGTTAGAGGATTGCCGTTCGTTTTATTTTTCCCGGTTTCGATATACAAGAGGGCCGCGCAGCAGTGAAGATTTCCAAGAGCCAGTCAATGGCGGTATAGTTCGAAAGAGCCGAGACTTGGTAGTCGAGATCGTGAGATGTTCACCAGTGCGCGAAAGGAGAGCAACGTGGCGGCAGCAGCAAATACACAAACACCCGACCAGCAGGTCCTTGTATTGGTTGACAAGGGAGTGAAGGAGTAAAAGACAGTCAAGGAATGAAGAGGCCACCCACGTTCATCAGAGATCTGACATCTTTTTTGGATGCAATGGCGATGCTTGAGCTTTAAGAAGTTAAGGACACAGTCAGATCGGCAAGTAGCGTCGATAGCTCTGTTTCTATTTTTGCCTGCGCGTTTAAAGAATAAGGGCAAGACAGTTGAAAGTTCCGCACAGAGGTACATACATATGTATGTATGGTAGCCTTTCAAAAGCCAACTCTTTGCCCATGGGACGAACCCATGCAGCTTATCCGAAGCGGGGTGTGTGTATGGACAGATCGAGGACAGGGAAGGCCGGATAGCGAATCGTTTTCGCCGGATGTCACCTTGGGGGGGAAATGATCCCTGCAGGCAACGGACCTATGGCGGAGGATTCCATAGTCCCTATTTTTGCAAGCCGCTCTCTGAGAAAGAGAGAGAGAGACGGCGTGATAGGGTGGTGCAGGGATTGAGGGAACGCAAGAGGGAGGTGTGGGTGAGCTCCGGATAGGCTGCAGGGAAGTTTTAGTGGCATGCAGCTAAGAAAACAAGCCTGTCCAATCCCTGCCCGACTTTTTAACCGCTGAGGTCTTGACTCTCGCTCTCAGCCAAGAGACCATCCTCCTTGTGGTAAATTTAATCCGTCAATCAAGAACGGCTAACGTGAGAATGATCCACGGCCGGCCACTCGATCTCGCGAGGAAAACACCTTGGGCAGATTTAACCACCCGTTATTTTTGGCGCATCACACGATTCATCTCATGAAAGCTAAGTTGTAGTTTGGATGGTGAGCCTGCCACTTCAATTCAAGGTAGAGCCGGATGCTTCTACCCTCAGAAGTCCGCGGAGGATATCGGACAGCACAGAGAGGTTAGGCCCATGCCTCTTTGTCCGTGCCTGCAGCAGCATGCGTCTGCAGTCTCTCGTAAGACAGAATAGATGTACGCAGGAGGTCGTGAGGAATGGGGTGAAGTTCATCACTTGGCGCTGCCAAGACCTCTAGGGTGGTCGCTGAGGAGCCCATCCGACGTGATCGGCACAGTGATTCCCCGTCCGGCACTTTCCTCGACGCTTTCACGACGGGCTAGCTTCAATAGTCCAGCAAAATCGTTAGCCGCGGTGGTCAAGCTCGCGCTCTCGCTCGAATTTCGCGTGCGAGTCACTCGACGTGCCGGTCACGCCGGGGCAAGAGATTTCGCTCACCCGCCAAGGCCTCAGCGGGCGGCCGCCCTGATTGGCCCCGGCGTGGGTTTCCCTCATCAAAACCGCCAGCCACTCAGCGCCTCGCGCCGCGCCGCCAAGACATGGCGCCCGCTGCCTGATTTGTCACTTTAGCTCGAGCCACATGCAGGTGATCGGTGTGGGGCGGCCCTCCCTCGTTCTGGCCCTTCCCGGTCCGCAACTCTAACTTTGATGCCTTAACACACTTAGCTTTGCATGATGAATCCCGCTCTTGCAATTCAGGCTAACCTGGCTCGGATTGCAGGTTAAGTTGCTTTAATTAGCAGCAATTGTGGGCAATTATTAGCCATTAAGTGGGTTAAATGCGTGCATCTCTCTCCTGACCTCTTGGTTATCCGTTCTTAATTTATCACCCCAGTTGACTCTCGAGGCATATTCTTAACAATCAATTAACAATCAACCCCGCTATTACTATTTATAAAATTAGCTCTTAATTTTGCGAAAATACACATAATTAGCAGCAATTGTAGCACTCTAGGTGTCGGTGCCCCAGTCCCCGTTGCGGCACGTTTCCGTCATCGTCAGACACCCGCACCACGAAGTTGCCCCGCGACGACCTCCCAAACCCCCAAAAATCTCTCATTTGCAAGACGCAGCTTAACCTGACAGATTGAGGATGTTGGGACCTACTTAGCTCCTTTTTCCCCGAGAACAGCCAGTTATGTACCTGACATGTTATATCCCTCATTGATCCTCAGCGTGGCCCTAACGCTCCATTCCTAGCGTTGGAATCGCCCAGCACTGCATTCCGATCTCAGCATCGCTGCATTGCCGCCCGTCGTTTGTCTCCTCTCCTCTGGCCATTGAGGATCTACGTGTTCAAACGATGAACCAGACGAATTTACATAAATACCGACCTCGTCCTCCTAGCTTCAAATTTTTCTCATCTTCCTCTTCCCTAGCAGACTATCCTTTTCTATATTACGCACCAGCGTCTCGTCACCCTCGCTCCTCTATTCAACCTCTAGCCGGGCCATGCTACCCTTACACCGCTTCCTCTAGGTCTTTGGTTGTCGCTGCTAAAACCCCCCCCCCCCCCCCGGGGGGCCGGTCAAGCCCAGCGGCGAGAATGAAGGAAAAGAGGCATCCCAGCCTCCAGCGCCGAGCCTCGGAGCAACACTTCGATAGAGAAAATGCTAATCCTTTCATCCCTGCCATCCATCCACGCAGGTCCCGGCCCAATTGACACCAGGCCTGACAGGGTTCTAGAATGTAACCTGATAGCATCCCTCTTTCACCCGGACCCGCACAAGGCGGAAAAAAAAAAAAAAAAAAAAAAAAGGAGGGTGTGATATCGACCACAAGGTTCAGCCCTCTGCTTTTCCTGTCATGTTTTAAGAGAGAGGAAAAAAAAAAAAGGCGCCATTGCGCGCATATCAGGGGTAGGCCATGCGTCTTGCCCCGGAATATTCGGTGGGATCTATTCTAGCCAAATCCTCCGAAGGGATACAATGGCTCCCCATCCCCGTTCTAAAAGTCTTACGATGGGGGGCCCTTTTCTTGAGTAGTACATAGATTGGGAGGCAAGGGTCGTAGTCTCGCAATCACATCCGAGTCTAATGAACTACTTGAAATATCAGCTCATCCATGAATATACCGGACAGCGACACGGGCCCAAAGATTGTGACAGATAGGCTTCTCTGTTTTATCTAAATTCTTTTTTTCCATCTCAATGTCCCATCACGTCGCATTCACTTTCGAATGTTTGTTTTGAATAAAGCACGGACAACCTGGTTTTTGGGGCTAGCCCGATTGGAAGGTCCCTGGCGATTTTCCCCGCTCTCTCCTTTGCCGTCTTATCTTATCAATAATGGCTCGACCCACTTTTGAGGGTCGAGGACGAAAATCTCCACAGCCAGCCAAAGATCGGCCGAAAATACACACTCGAGAGCTGATTACGTAGTTACGGAGCGATCTATGGAGTTTGAACCTCTTCGATCGTCAGCTAACTACGGGGTAGTCAAGCCCGTCATCGGCGGCTGGACATACATTGACATACATACAAGCCCACGGTGCGTGCTCCACCGCGTTTCTCAGCAGGAACACAATTCTTCTCGACAAGAGTATGAACATGGCCACCAGGGTGAATTTTTCTCTGCACGTTGTCGAAACCCGGCTTTTCAACATGGCTGGGAACCCAACACCGTGTAGAACAAAAATACCGCACACCGCAAATTTGGAACAACCTAACTATCCCCAGCCTTCTCAATTCTATCCTGCTTCCTCCGAGTGGAACACCAAAGGCAGCGTCCATATGGAATATAGGCGGAGTGCTCCGTACTACGGAGGAGTACAATGCTCGGCCTATCGATACCATCCTGGTCTTGTTGCATGGGCCTCATCACACCAACGAGAGGGAAAATGAAAGAACGGTGTTCCCCGAACCGCCGACTAAAACTTCAACAGCTCACGGGGACGCCGCAAATCAGGGCTTTTCTCCTGATGGATGTAAAATGATGATCTTCCCCAGGATGTGATCATCCAGCGAGCTCGTTGAATGCGCATTGACCTGCTCAGGACAAGAAGTCATTGGCTGGGTGGCCTGGGATACTGTGACAGCGGCTGCCTCTTGGACGACCCGACGCCCCGGATCGAGCGACTGTCGTCGACCCAGGGCTCCCATATCCGGTGCTTGTTCACGAATCAAGGGGCCTTTTCATTCTCCCACCCTCCTCCAGAGTATTGCTACTCCTCCTCCTTGTCTCCTTCTATCGTGCGCCCGATGTGTATGTGTCGTGGCAAGGGGAGCATAGGGTGGCGAACGGGTTCACAGGACATGCTCCGTACATGAGACTACATATTTTTTTTGTCCTTGAAGAACGACGGCATGGGAATTCGCACAGAGTATGTGTACTGCCGATTCTTGTCCCTCTGCGACATGCCTGGGCGGACATCTAGCACTTATACCGCGAAAAGGACATGTACACACTCACACACACGGCGAACAAGTGGTCCTAGCTCACTATCACAGCCGCCTCAGGAGCAAGGACATGTCCAATGCCTGTCGGGGCATGGGAGCAGCTGACGGGTTGGATTGTGACGGCTCGAACGTTTGACGTCATTCAAGAACGCTGGACTTTCTTGGAATTCTCGCTCAGGAATTTTCTCTCCTTTCGGCCTGAGAAATCAGCGACGCTCAGCATTAGCCAGGAGCCCGACAGCTCGGAAGAGCGAACACGACGGAACTTATGTAGCTAAATTGAGAAAGGAACACAATGTGACCCCCAGCAGAATCATGTGATCCAAGCTTTGATGTGCAGCTGAAGTTTGGCTTGGCTAATGTCGCCAGACATCCATCCGAGCGCCCCGTGCGCTGTGTGACTTGGGTGATCGATCAAGGAGGCCGTTAAGTAAAATGAAAAGAAAGGGCTGTTCGATGCTGTGACTCGGCCAGAAGGAAAAGACGGGCACTCTCTCAATCATCACATAATCTCATGTCACATAAACACCATCCAATGCCAAAGCCTGGAGGCATAAATAGGTATTTCTGCAATCGCGGGTGATTGCAACGGTCGCATCATCAAGAAAAGATGTGAGGAAACGAAAGTAAACATCCAACGGTAGCGAGAGAAAATTACCTGGTAGCTCGTAATGCGGGACGTTCGCCCGAAGTAACCCGTAACTAAATGGCTCGAGGAGTTCGTGGAGTCAGCAGACCCAGGACGTCATCATCGCAACGACTCATCTCAGACTTCAGCCGCCATTGTCTTAACTTGGGTATATTCGGGCGTCGTTCAGCGGAACATGGCGGTGAGCCGACTCCTCTCTCTCTCTCTCGCCTGCGACCAGCTACGGAATGCGTGGCCAACGTAACGAGGGAAACTTCCCGTCGCAAGCATCTACCCGGGCGCTTAAACGCTAACTGACGCCTTTTTGCCCCAGCCCCTCATTCGCGTAGCAACTGCCCTCAAGACAGAAGGCAAAAGTGGCAAGATGATCTTAACCGCCCGCTCTGATCGTCGATTGATGGGCATTTGTGGTTGTGAGTTTTAAACCGCCTGGTTCAAAAACTATTCCATTTTCTTTTTCTGGCTAAGTGGCGAACTACATCAGGCGTTGGGTTGCCGCTCAAATTTCGTCTTATTCCGTTGAGCCCAGAGAAGGAGTTCCATAAAACTACTCCGTAGCCAGGTCATGAGACACATCCTAGCGATGTTCCCGGTGGTTGAGATCTGACCTTTAGCGCCCATGCCACTGCTCAACATCTCCGAGAAAACCTCGAATTTCTCGTGATAATCCTCCGTAGTGCTTTGATCGATTCTCTCGGCGTAAAAGCAACAAACAAGAAAAGAAAAGAAAATTGGTGCCAGGTGGGAGTTACTCCATCTTACTTAAAATATAGGTATGTAACTGGGGTTTAAGGTTCGCTCACTTTTTAGATCGAACCCTCCAACTCAAAAGCCGTCTTGTCATTTCCTCTGGTTCTGGCGGCGTGGTCGCATAGGTGTAGTCGGCTCTAGGTGAAGCGCTGTTACATTTCATGCATCGTACAGTCACGTACCGGGCGGTAGTGCTTGCTTTATACGCTGTGCGATCGAGATCATCCGCTTGTGCGAATGTCAATCAGAGAGTTAACCACAGTGCTACGGAGTACTTGTCTCTCTTTCCCCGATTCGTCAATATGCCTATTTTTGATTTCTGTCTGGCCTTGAGATAAAATTGGCTTGTCTTACTAGATTTGTCTCCTCTGTACACGGCTCGGGCCAATGCACGTCTTCGAAAGCGGCTTGTTGTGGAATGACATCTTTGACACAGGGAACTGCAGGAGCTGCCGCACATCTACATCGCTATCACCGCATTGAAAAACTACCTACACGAGGACCACTCAAGGTCGAAAGAAAAGCCAACATTATGCACCACGATTTTTGAGGAATCATGTTAGTGTCTCACTCTTAGCCGAGAGAAGTAGCTCGCAATCATGTACTCCATGGATGCATGTACGTACATTCATACATACAGTACGGGGTATATTCTTCGGGCGCCTCGTCCATATATGTACCGTAACTCCGTCCACTTCAACACCGGTCGGGATATTTTGGACGTACTCCATCCATGTTCATTCACTATTTCCATATGCTTAGAAATGTAGATTCCGGAATAGACCAAGCATCGTGAGTCTTCCCAGTGGCCAGACCATACTCTTGGAGAGGGGGTCTGGAGGAGGAGGCGAATATACTTTGTACTGATAGTATGATGTAATCTCCCGATAAGCCCTCGGGCTCGAAGTAGAAAGGGACCGTCGCCAGCGAGAGTGGCGGCGAGCGGAGTCAGTCAATAGGAACAGATAGAATGGCATAGGGGTCTGGAAAAATTTTCTGCCCAGGGTAAAGTCCTGAGCATCTTGGCCCGTATCACAGAACCGGCTCCTCGGCCTGTTCGGTGCCCCGGCCGCTTGCCCAGGCCCCAGAGGCATAACCTAGAGAGACGAGAATTTGGGGCCATGGGTAGACTTTGTGCGGGAGGGATTGTTGACCGTAAGAAGTTCTCATCCAACTTGGGATATTCGATGCATAACCGCATCGTGGAATGTTGTCAGGATCCACGCTCTTGAAGAAATATTAATATTGGAGAACAGTGTTGCTGCATGCATGGCGAAAAGCCCTTGTTTAAAAAAAAGAAAAAGGCACAGCGCAGCGACTGACCAAACATAAAAGGAAAAAGGGCCACGTCCAAGCAAGGTATTTGAGGTGCTAGCCCCGGCAACTTCATACTTACAGAGGTACCTCCATGTACAGTACAGCGTGCATATGTATATGTACTCCGTATGTGCGTTTGTAACTGTACAAACAGACAGCAGCACTAATGCAAACTGTGCGTTCCCGTGCAAAAATTGATCTGTGGGAACCAACTGCTGAGCTTTGCCCAAGCCCGGCCATTATGCGACCGTGCGGTCGTCCTGCGACCAGTCTTGGCCGGTTCAGTTGTGAAGGCGATGGAATGCCAAAGCCTGAAAACAAAAAGACGTTATCAAAGCTAGCTACAATAATCCACAAGGACACACCATTTTTTTTTTTTAAAAAAAAAAGTAAAAAAGATATGTAATATCGACAGCCCAGACCAGTAGGCAAATCCTCGTTTTCTGTGGAATGTTGCACAGAGAAAAAAAGAGAGACGTGGGTTTTGATTCAGCCCGTGCCTGGATCCTTATTTTCCTCTTTATTTTCGTTTTTGCTTTTTTTTTTTTTTGGGCCTTTTGTGCTTGTGCGTTCTTACATCTCGGGGAGCAGCGAAAGGGGTTGTGCAAGAGTCATCTCTCGAATACCACCAAGGGCCATGGTCGACAATTTCCATCACATCAATAGTGCGTGATGGGCTTCAGCTCCCTCGATCTCGTGAGGAGCCCGGCGGCAAAAGGGAAGGGAAAAAAAAAAAGGACCTCATTCGAATCGTCGTAGTCAGTCAGCACAGGACGTTCTCCATTCCTGCCCTACCCCTCTGCTACCCCTCTCGATGGCCATTCGCCCGTTGCAGTCGCCCTTCCCCGACCAATGGGCGCCTCCCGGCCGGCCTCTCGCTCAGCCAGATGTGACACCTCCCACCGCGAGCAGAGAAACCCGCCCGTGCTCTGTGTAGGCCAGAAGTACCAGGTACATCCTGTCCGCAACTCCCCAGCTAACCCCCAACGCAGCCAACACGGCAGCCGGCCAATCACGTTGCCACACCGTATTTGGCCTGCACATGCGATTTCTTCACAAAGCAACGGACAGGGATGCTCTGCGTGCGCTGATTGGCCGGCACTTTAGAAAATAGAGTTTCGTCACAGAAACGTAATCACCACACTAAACTGCGTACAGCAACCGTACCTTCTTTGCGTGCATTGGGGCCCACTGGCAGCGCAGTCCCTGATTGGTCGCCATGGTCTTCAGCGAAGGGAAACTAACCTGTGAACGGGCTGTGATGTCTGCATCCCGTACATGGGTGCAGAAGGGGAACCTGCGCATGAAGTACCAGTCAGCGCAGGACGCTCGATGTTCTGTTAGCAATCCTGACCAGGTGATACATCCTTCCCAAGTCCCCACTCCCGGCATCGTAGACGTTTCTGCATCGCCATGGAAACAGGGAATCGTGCCCGTACTCCGTACTGCCCTCGTAACGGGCAGGCCAGAAAACGCCCACCAACGTCACCCCATTTGTCAGGCCACGGGTCACCACGCTCTCACAGGTAGTGACTTTCCCTGTCTCGTCACAAACCGACTCCCTGCTCTGCTCCGGATAGGCCTTCTTTACAAATATCTCCAAGCGCCCGCTTACCCGGCCTTGTCCAGCCCCCCCCACACACACACACACACATATACTCGCATACATCCACACACTCCCCCCCCACCCCCCTTCGAGGATCTGCATCGGGGCGAGAAGGGATCCTCACTTCCTCAGATATATTATCGACCGCCTCGAGACCTGCATTTGTCTGTCGAACTGCATCTCCCTCCCTTCTCCGGATATACACTAGACCGCACATAGGACCGGCAACGGTTGACCTGCTTGCTTCCCCTACCCCAATTCCCATAACCCTTTCTTTTTGTAGTGCTCTCTATCTTCGTGCATCGTTCATTCGGAGCATGGACGTTTATTGATTTCTTTCCCGCTTCGTTTTTCTCTTTCTCTTCCGGTGGCCCTTGATTCACGGCTTTGACCCGATTTCATCATGGTAGGCAAATGCAGAAGACGGCCCGGATAGGAACATCGATTGGCTGACGATCCGATTCAGGAGTTCACATACCAACTCTCGCAGCCCCAGCAGGGAGTCCTGATGCTGCAGAAGAACACAAATCCGATCACTCTTTTTCCTAGACGTTCCTCGTTCAATTCACGGCCGCTCTCTGAAGCAACGGAAATCCTGGACACCGATTATGAGGTTGAGTTCTCCGATATCGAGTCCCCCAGAAGAAGCATAGAATCGGTGAGTAGAATCTTCCTTGATTGCCCCTATCATGACATCGCCTCTGACCCCCAGAAACAGCTGGAAAATGACAGTGCAACAACTCTGTCCACACCAGACGACCTGCCCACCCCAGGTGCTCTGGATACATCGTTCAAGATTGGTTTGGGCCCCAGTAAACCCGTCCAAGGGCCGTCTGGACCACACCTTTTCAGGTCATCCCTGGATGCATCCGTAGCTGGCAAGTCAGACGATAATGACTGGCACTTTCCCTCATCGCCGGATGAGCTGGATGACGTAAGGAACTCTTCAATTCTCTTGAATGAGCGGATATTCGACGCCAGACCTCCAGTCGAAGAATTCAGACCAGCGAGTAGTTTGAGCGTTTCTCGAACATCTCCCCACCAGGATGTTACCGATGTGCGAGCATGGACGCCAGCCCAGGTGGCTGAATGGATGTACGAGGCCGGTCTTGAAGACATGGTCGTTGAGCGCTTCATCGAGAACGATATCTCTGGTGCTGTCCTCCTGGATCTCCAAATCGAAGACCTCAAGGAACTGGACATTCAATCCTTTGGAAAACGTCACGGTCTGATGAACATGATTCAGAAACTTCGCTCTGGTACATCTACTCGCTCGATTGAGAGGTCCTCCTCCCGGCTCAGCAGATCTTCATCGACGCGCAGAGGAGATAACAGGGACCACACGATTCGTTCCCCTATGAGCGACAGAGGTAGTTCCCGCCAACGCCGAAATCGAGTCATTTCGGAGAAAGACATAATTTCACCAGGAGAATCCATCTCTATCGTGGCAATTGAGCAGTTAATTCCCAAGCCCCACAAATGTTCCAAGGGAGAGAACTGCCCAAAATATCAGAGACGGCAGCGCAAAATCGCCCGTTTTGCAAAGGAGTTTCCGAATGAATTCACACGGATAAGTGGAGAGCATATTTCCGTACCTCTGGCCAGCCCAGCGAAGACGGAACACGGCCTTCGCCCAAAGTCTGATGCTACTCCTTCTCTTGTTGCTTCGTCTGATGTCCTCGGACCATCACAACTGCCGGAACTCAAACTTAGTGCCGAAAACTTGAATGGAGTCCAACCCCGGGATCCGCAGGAAAACGTCCGCCAATTCCTGAATTTCCAACATATGCACAACCCAGTGCAACCTGAGTACAACCAACCTCCCCTGGAGATGTTCCCTCCCCTATCCCCTCCAGCTTCGTCTACACCCCCCGCAAACATGACCACTCAACTTCGTAGTCTGCCAAGGCTGGTAATTCCTCGGAGTTCTTCTGCAAACAACACCTTTTCTCCAGATCGAACCATCACCCCATCAATGGGGCTGCCACACATGGGCTCTGCAACTGCAACGCAAGAAACGAATCCATTCCACTTTGGTCAAGACGTGTACCGCCATGTTACTCCCTTTTCGGAGATGGACGCCCCGATCACCGCGATGCCGATTGAACCGCTGGACCGTGATGCTTCGCAATCGGTACCCCCTAATATGAGATATGGTACCTTGCACTCACCTACTGGCGACTCAATCTATCGCTCGCAATCCGTACGACCCGATCATCACCGTCGACGTCCATCCTTTACAACAATGGCCCCTCTTACAGAGGGCAGAGTACTCCCTCCTATTGATAACCCATCGGAGCTTCGACCGGCTCTTCTCGCCAAACCCCACACGCAGGGACTCTTGGCTTCGAAGTCAGCTACCGAATCCGGAGGGACCCCTACGTCCTCGTCAAAAGATAACGAGGTCGCCCACAGTGGGTGGATGAAGAAGAGGAAAACCCGCCTTTTACGTCATGAATGGCAGGATGCACACTTCACCCTCAAGGGCACCGTTCTGGCCATGCACAAAGATGAGCGTGACTCTCGAAGCCTTGAGACGATTGACGTAGACGATTACGCCGTCGCTTGTTCATCGCTGGCGAGCAACTCCAAACTTACAGCTGCATTCAAGAGGTCGGCCCTTCGCAAGGCAGCAAGTCTCTCCCAGAACGGATATCGAGGCATGGATGAGACTGCCTTTGCATTCTCTTTGGTTCCCGCATCGGGAGAAAAGAAGTCGCTGTTCCTCGGATCGGGTAAAAGCCATCATTTCGCCGTGAAGACGAGGGATGACCGAATCAACTGGATGCGAGAGCTAATGCTCGCCAAAGCTCTGAAAAAGGGCAAGGAAGGAGGAAATGAGATCTGCGTCAACGGCAACGTTATCTAAACGCTGAGCGCATCGCCGCATTCCTCTTTCCAATAGCGCCCTCTCCCAATAAACGGGACATCTGTATATACCTCCTTGCCCGTACAGAATACGGCCGCCATTCGTTTGCATTGTGTTCTCCTTCGGGGTTTTGACCTGGCGCCAACGCTCTAGATCTCACTTTAAACCATAACGACTGATGACGACATGCCATGTTTCCCTTTTTTTTTTTTTTTTTCTCCTCCTTTTTTCTTTTGTTTTCGATTTTTTTTTTTTTTTTTTTTTTTTTTTGGATGGGGCCTTTTATATGTCCTTTTTACCTTTTGTTGCAGAATACCCCTCAACTCTTGTATTTTTGCGCTCCTTGCTTATTACATCTGTTCGTGATTAGTTTTATTTTCTTTCGTGACGGCCTTATCAAATTGGGGGGCCATTTGTTGTCGAGATACCACTGACCACCGTCTTTTGTCTTTGGCGAAAAGATTGCTGGGCATTCTTCTCTTGCATATATTAGTGACTACCCTTTTTTTCCTTTTTCTTTTTTTGATTTTAAGTTTACCCTGCAAATGGGTTTAGGAGTGGTAACAGGATCGATAGTCTAGGGAATGGAATAAATATCGGGATGACCGAAACACAGCAAATTCATGGATTCGCATCTAAGACAAAAGTGGAAAGTAATCCCTTAGCGATTCGCAATTGGTCAGCTTGGGGGCCAGGAAGAGTCGTAATGTACGGACAAATTTAATACGCTTTGATATCGCCGTTCCCAAATCAAGTAAACGTGACGCCCGGCTGCATCAAGCCCCGATACAGCTCCTCCAAAACGTCTCTTTTCCTCTTCCGTTCCTCCATTTCCGTTTCCTCTCGCTCGGCTTCGATCTCGTCGATTTCTTCCTCTGTCCTCGACGCCCAGCACCTAATCGTGCCATCGCCATGTCCCGAAAACATCTCCATCCCCTCTCCAGCCCCGCCGTTTCCGCGCCAAGTCAACGTATTTATCCGTGCCGCCGTCAGCGCTGAGGGTTTCCCGATTGCTCGCATCCGCTCTCGCGATGGGATGCCGGGGACTTTTAGATGCGTGACCAATTCACCTTCATTGCGGATGGAAAAGATGAATATTTCGCCGCGGTCGTCCGGGTCGGAATAATTGGGCCAGAGGAAAAACGGGGCTTCTTGGGCAGAGACGTTGTCTGGGACGACAAGAGGCGCACGCTCGGCAAGGTGCATCGATGCACTGTTGCGGATGCGTGGGCCGAAGTGGACAAGTGTGTTGGCGCCGGTTGTCGCGTCCCATACTCGTAGACGCGAATCTTGACCGGCGGTGATGATGAAGTCGCCCTGTGGACTCCAGCGGACGCCGGTGACGGCGCCGTTGTGAGCGCGAGATCCACGGGCGAAGGGTTTCCGTGGATGGAATGTAGGTGGCGCGGTGGGCGGTGGGAGAACGCCCACGGCGTCATCCATGTCGAGGGAAGCAATGGTGGAATTGTGGCCGCCGCGGCGGACGTCGAAGATGAGAACACGGTTGTCTTTTGAAGCGGAGGCGATTAGGTGGGGGTTATGAGGGGCCCATTGGACTGATAAAACGGCGCCTGTGTGGCCAGGGAGGGAGTGGGTGGAAAGTCCGGAACGGAGATCAAGGAGACGGACGGCTTTGTCCGATGTTCCGACGCCAATGAGGAGGTGAGAGGACGGATGGGAGGAAAGGGAATGGGAATAGGGCGTTGAATGAAGGGAAAAGGTATGGACTGGAGTGATTTCAGATTCGCCAATCGACGAGAGTTTGAGGGTTGTGTCGTGGGATGTGGTGAGCACGGTTGCTGGCGTCGGGTCAAAGGGATAGATTGAAATTGAAGTCAATGCGTGCGTGTGTGCTGATGTGTTCGATGATCTATAGAAGTTCGGCATTAAGGTCATTTGATTTGATAGACGCGTTAATTAACGTACTTCGAAACAGATGCAATCGACCTATGGAGGTGGGTTGACTGCGCTCCACGGCTTTCGAAGTCCCACAGGTGGACGGACGCATCGGCGCCGCCAGAGACCATGCTAGAGAATAAAACCCATCAGAGTCGTATATCGAAAATCAGAGGCTACTGCTTAAAAAAAAAAAAAAAAAAAGAAAAGAAAAAAAAACATACAAGCGTCTATCATAGTGATCGATAGCCAGCACATTCACGCCTGCTTTGTGTGCCCACACTTCATCGCCATCTGTGGTTGATGCTGACGCGCTTGAGAATCGAATTCCCGGCGCTGGCGCGAGGCACTGGATGAGTCGCGAACATTGCGCCGCGTGGAAAGATGAAGGGCATATAGATCCTTGAGATCTATTTAAAAGATATGAATTCATTCATTAGAGTGGCCTGCGATGTCGTGAGGAACGCGTTAACGCTTGGTTTGCTGTCAGCGGGATGAAAGGTGCGCGGGTTTCCACCCTGTCTTGTCGGGATTTTGTTGGTCCGAAAACCCCCTAGTGGACATTTCCAAGATCTCACAGCAGCTACTCTCTAACCTAACTAGGAATTGTGTGAGAACTTGTAATCCAAATAGAGAACTGTTGAAGTATTGTAGGATTTCTATTACCCTCCTGAAAATACTTTCTTTTGGAACATGAGCTCAGTTGTAGAATGTAACTAAAATTTGAAGTATAAGATTAGCGATTTTATTCCAAATTGAGAGGACTGGCAAGGATACCCCGCTAGCAGATCTCAACCCCTGCCCACTCAAAGCATGTTGCAGTAACTGGGGCTTCTGTGGCGTGTTCCCGGCGCACTGCGATATCCACGCGCCCGAGGGTGGTGGTCCGGGTAGTAAGAAGAAGGGATACGACAGCACATGTGTCTCCAACTGCGGCACAGATGTCAAACAGAACTGTGGCCCACCAACAACTTTATAGTGGAAAGACAACCTTCGCGGTTTTCGCAAGATCAAGGTGTATGCAGAACTCAGGTGGGCCCTGTTTTCCAGAAATACCTGTTGTATACTGGCCACACAATCCTAGAGCTTGTCGCCATTGTAACCCTGTGAGTATAATCTTTTGGAAACAGAGGTAGGAAGTTGACTTCTGGTTCACACCTTAGTGTGTCATGAAGCTCATTCAGTGTTTGCAGACTGATCTTTGCTGTATAAGACAGCTAATAATAGTGGGCATTTTGATGTTTATGATAATATGGGTTGGGGAACATTGACGTTAAATCCACTGCCGGATCCCTTTCCAGTGTTGCCTGAATTCCAGCATAAGATCTCTGTTCCATTGCCGCTGCTTCGGGGTTGGAAGGTGAAAGGGCTCGTGTAGTAATCTCACATATTTACCTGTCGCGGCAGAAGCTGGAGGAGTCTTTAATAGTAGGATTGCACACGAAGGCAGGATCGTGTAGAGATTTCGCGGCGCCTTACCGTCCTTCTCGAAATCGGTCCACTCGGTCCATCACGTGCTCACCAAGCATGTCGGGACGGCCCGTTACTTAATTACTCCGGCGTAGATCAGACTGAGAGCTCCCAGAGCAGCAACACCTCTCCCTATCCAAGCGACAATGTCGTCACACAGGCATCAATCATCTCTTGAGGGAGTTTTGGATATTTCGGAACCTTTCTCGCTGACTCCGCAACAATCCAGCTCCGCGAGGAGCTTCCTTGATATACTCATCAAGGACTATGGCCTCGAACGAGCAACAGAGAGGGGTTACAAGCCTGCGAAATTGATACATGTCATGCTTGACTTTATCTCTTCAAAAGACACATTCTTAACTCTTTTCTTCACATTTCTGCATGAGAACTTGGCTGGTGTTACATCTAACATTACCTTGGCTCTATCATACCTTTAGCATTTCAGTTGTTGGGAGCCGGCCGCACGAAGTGCCGTGATGGGTGCTCTTGAAGAGTTTGCAGACTACATGGTTACTCAGTTCTTTCTTCCATGTGTGTTTATGATGTCTCCTACTTGCAATCACTTTCTAACTCAAGCAATTCAGTTAGGGCCTCATCCATCAAGACACCGCAACCAACGCCCACCATGTTGTCTTCAATAGAAGCATCGACCGCCACCGGCACAAAACAGCGTATATCTGACTTGAGACATGATTGCCTCGTCCGTGATCACCATCGATGTGTTGTGACTCGGAAATTTGATATAACAGAAGCCAGAAGGCGTTATGAAAGGGACAAAAACTGTACAGATGATGATGGAGAGCTTCTTGAAAGAGAGCAACGTAATAACTTCCAGTATCTGGAAGTCGCCCATATACTGCCTCATTGCCTAACAAAGGTTGGTTCTGGGGACAAAGATTTGGTATGAATAAGCCCCTGCGGCATCTAGGATTTCATTAACTGGTCTTAAGACTGAGTCAAAAAAGAATGTACTCCGAATTCTGGACATGTTTGATACCGGCATCACTCACCTTATTGATGGCCTGAAGATTGACAGCCCATCAAATGCTCTCACACTAACATTTGATAACCACCGGCTCTTTGGTGAATTCCAGATATATTTTGAGCCTACAGGCAGGGCGTATGAATATACAATTCATTCTGTCGAGAGTGGTCTTCTGAGCAATCCTTTCTTCCCTGTCACTCGCACCCTGACGCTCAGCCCCAACCATACAATTGATCCCCCATCTCCTCGACTTCTAGGCATTCATCGGGCCATCTCACTTATCCTAAAGCTCATCCCGCTTCCTATCATCCCGAACCCCTGAGTGACTGTAAATTTCATCCTCTATATCCTCTAGCGCGTTGTTCGATTTTCTTCCAGGGAAAAATCCACTTGGAATTGTTGCTGAAATCCTATAAAATGGGCACTCAAAGGTGACTTCGCGTTCCGGCCCGCCACCCTCGAAAATCGCGAGAATACAGTATTCATCCGCTGCAATACCTCCTTCAACAAGGTATTCATCATGGTGATTCCGTAGCTTTTTTCGAGGATCTGGCCCGGTGTCAGAGTACCCAAGCGTATATGCAACCTCCTTCGCACTGTACACGCCAGCCAAACTCTTTGCCCACAAGGCAATCACCACGATGTCCTTTTTCTCATCGCCCTCCAAATACTCTTGGCGCTTTATAACCCGCCTCCAACTGCTGAAGAAAGATAAGAACCGTGTCGGTCTCTTTTTCCATGAAAGACGATCATCGAAGTCCTCCCTTGATGGCACACCACCATGAATTGTGCCCCGTGCACACAAGTAGCCTTCTCTAAAGCTTGTGTTAGCACGGCACTCGGCGCGAAACAGAACCGACGGTTTTGTGCCAGCTGATAATGGAGAGAAGGTCATCTTGATCTAGAATACTGGACTTTATTCGCAGATGACTCAAAATGTGTACAGAAATGCCCTTCTTTCTCTTACAGACAGAGATCCGTTTTCAAACCCAAAAGGAAATGATGAACTTTTGTGACGTTTCGTGACTTCTGAGTCACTTGCATATCACGTGATAACATGGCCATCCCATAGCGGATTTTGGGGGGATTCGGAAACCGTAGATCCACCGGTTCCGATACGTGGATTTTGGGATCAATATATATCCATGGAAACCGTAGAACCTTAGTATATTTTTATCTACATTTCCAGCTTGGAAACATTCCGCGCACTACTTTTGGTTTATCAACCATTACAAGTGGATTAGAGTGGATTACAGAGTGGATTACAGAGTATATTACATGACTATTTGCAAATTCACTATGTACAAAAATTGATCTAAAAATGATTCAACAAGCATGTAGGATCCTAGGAATCTAGGAATTGATTCAACAAACTTGTAGGATTCCTAGGGGTCTAGGAATTGATTCAACAAGCATGTAGGATTCCTAGGGGTCTAGGAACTGATTCAACGAGCATGTAGGATCCTAGGAATCTAGGAATTGATTCAATGAACTTGTAGGATCCTAGGAATCTAGGAATTGATTCAATGAACTTGTAGGATTCCTAGGGGTCTAGGAATTGATTCAACAAGCATGTAGGATCCTAGGAATCTAGGAATTGATTCAACGAACGTGTAGGATCCTAGGAATCTAGGAATTGATTCAATGAACTTGTAGGATTCCTAGGGGTCTAGGAATTGATTCAACAAGCATGTAGGATCCTAGGAATCTAGAAATTGATTCAACAAGCATGTAGGATCCTAGGAATCTAGGAATTGATTCAACGAACGTGTAGGATCCTAGGAATCTAGGAATTGATTCAATGAACTTGTAGGATTCCTAGGGGTCTAGGAATTGATTCAACAAGCATGTAGGATCCTAGGAATCTAGGAATCAATTCAACAAACTTGTAGGATTCCTAGGGGTCTAGGAATTGATTCAACGAGCATGTAGGATCCTAGGAATCTAGGAATCGATTCAATGAACTTGTAGGATTCCTAGGGGTCTAGGAATCAATTCAACAAGCATGTAGGATCCTAGGAATCTAGGAATCGATTCAATGAACTTGTAGGATTCCTAGGGGTCTAGGAATCAATTCAACAAGCATGTAGGATCCTAGGGGTCTAGGAACTGATTCAACAAGCATGTAGGATCCTAGGAATCTAGGAATCAATTCAACAAACTTGTAGGATTCCTAGGGGTCTAGGAACTGATTCAACGAGCATGTAGTATCCTAGGAATCTAGGAATCGATTCAATGAACTTGTAGGATTCCTAGGGGTCTAGGAATCAATTCAACGAGCATGTAGGATCCTAGGAATCTAGGAATTGATTCAACGAACGTGTAGGGTCTGAAGGTTGAAGGGATGAATCTATCAACAAAACCATCAGCAAATCCATCAATAATCAATCTAACTAGGTAATCAACTTAGCAAATCTCAGCAGCTAGGTAGGGTGGTTGATTGGTAGGTTGGTTGATTTTGGAAGGAAAAATCAACATGAAAGAACAAACAAAGCCCTTTGATCTTGAAAGATTTTCAAAGCTATACCATATTTAGTTAGGAAGCCTGATCAAAAACCTCAGCTGGTGCATGATACATTCCAAATTTTATATGTTTCAGACCCTTTATACATATATGAGAAGAAATGGTTGCTATACTGTAGATCTACAGTTCTCAGTTGAGAAACTGGTGGTTGTCAGATAAACGTTTCCCGAAGGTTGCCCAGAAATCTCATTTTTCCGGTATGGTCATTCCGAATACAATACAGAGAATGTACGGAGTACAGATGGTATCAAAACCGGTCTCAATGCTAGGACCTTGGCAGTGGGGCTGGAAAACAAACATCATGTGTGTGGAGGTCAAACCAATTTTGAGACTGACTGTAGCTGTTTAGTTGCTTGGAATCAGGCCACGCTAATACTTTGAAATACGAGGCAGCCGGCGGAAATTGTGTTTTTTTAACTGAAAATTACGGAGTAGCTTGGCGAATGACAAGCACGTCATCGGCTCCGGATAAACTCAGGCCGAGATATCATTCCAAGTGGACCGACCTGGGCAAGGTTCGTTGGAGTGCTCGATGGAGCACGACAAGTAGATCTCGTGGTGAAGCATGCCATTGCGATGAATCAAGAAAGCGATGTTTTTGAATCGATAGAACACAATGCAGAGGATGCTCCTCCCCAACCCCGGAAGCGTTATGCAAATGTTTACGATGCGGTTGCTGGTATGGTACCTGCATTGTTGGCTCGGCCTTGAATTGTTTTAGACGGCTAATTTTTCTTTTCAACAGGACGAGTGTCGACTCAGGAATTTCGCTTAGCGCCATCTCTTGATAGCCGCAATTCTCTTCCCAGCACATTTCACTCTGTCCCTCCGGATGAAGTTCTATTTCGCCGCTTAAGTGCGCCTACCAGATACCAGGAAGACGACATCTACTTCGCCAACGAACGTCTTCCACCGGATCAAACTCTTCCAGATTCAGACCTACTGAAAGCCATACATACGTACACCTCGGACTTCTACTCTAGCGCAACTGCTGACCGTGGCCGATCGACCTGGTTGAGTATGGACGAAACCGCTTTGATTGCGATGGGAATTCTTCTGGAAGAAACTGCCGTAGAGGCATTGGGGGAAACTGGAGATATGGTGTTTGTCGAAGGAGAAGAAGTTGTTGGCACTGACGAGCCTGGTTATGAGTCCGAAGTTAGTATAACTTCAGGCCGGCGGTCCGTTCCAAGCACATTGGGGTTTTCGGGCGCGGAAAGAACGCGAACGACGGGCGTTGGAAGAAGCGGGGATGAATTGGTTGGAATGAAAAGGAAGAAGCGCCGATTGAGCAAGTCTGGGCGAGCGAAGGACGATGCTGTGCAAACTGACGGTGAGGACATTTAAATCGCTGCATACGCAAGTGCAAACAGTCCGTCTCGACCGGCACGTTCAGCGATTACGTCTCATATTCCATGAACATGGTGATAACACAATCGTGAGTACTATGTTTCCGATGTAGTTGAGGTACATGTTGCAAATTTGCTCCCGTTTCCTAAAAAGGAAACTTTGAGCCTCTCCCCCTCTCTCCGAGGCTTTTCAACGACGTCGCCTAGAACTGGACACTTCATCACCCTTCGTCAAAGAGAGTTTCCAATGTATAGAGTATAAGTTAACTCCCTTACAAAGATGGTGGGTTTTTCTACCTGCTGAATCGACATCAGCGATTTCTCCTGATTAGCCCTAGCTAACGAATACCATAGGGCCCATCCAAGTCTTTGCCTCCAGCTGCCAAGCAAGCTCTTATTCTGACTCATTTACGCTCAACACGTACCTGCCACACCCTTAAAGATCTTGAGAAAATGCTTCCATCTGTTGCATCGATCAACAGCATGCAGGTTAAGGACTACATCCAAGCCCTTGTGGACGATAACAAAGTCCGCGTTGAGAAAATCGGTAGCGGGAATTGGTACTGGGCTTGGGCTGGAGAAGAGAAAAAGGCACGAGACAAAATACGGACCGGGTTAGTCAAGGAATTGGATAAGATTAACAAGAGCGTTGCTGAATTGAAGAGTAAGATCGATGTGGCAAAGGCTGAGATTGGTCAAGGCGCGGACGAAGAGGCTGAGAGCACAAAGTTGTTGGCAAAGAAGGAGACCATGGGAGCCGAAGTCTCGGCGTTGAGGGAGGAGCTTGATCAGTATTTAAACGGCGAGGCTGGTGGGAGCGTTGATATGATGGAAGCGGATATCAAGCGCTGGAAAAGCGAAGCAGAAATGTGGACGGACAATATTTACATTCTCGAGGGATACTTGAACAAGCTGACTGGCGGCGATAGAGAGATCCTTGAATTTCTGAGGAGAGAATGTTACGGCGACGAGTACGTTGAGGGAGAAGGGCTGTCAGAGCTTTAGGTAGGTATGGTCTATCAAGTCTACCCTGTGAGATGATTCTGTTTACCATGAGATGGCTAATATCTCTAAGGAAAAAACAGATATGCATTTGAAGCTTTCATATTTGTCGTTATGTGCTGTATGTATGAACAGGAGAATCATACATGGCATTCATTTCTTGAATTCATCCAATTTTCCAACCCTTCCGTATGTGCCACCCTGTTTATTTTAATTCCAAATAACGCAGGAAAATCGACAAAATCATTAAACAAAAAATTAATTCACCTCCACGAACTTCTTCTCATAGTCCGAAATTGCCTGCACTTTTTGCGCACTCGCACTCTTCTGGTCGAATCGATACGTTAGCCACTCGCCGGCTAACTTCTTCGCCAATTCAATTCCAATAACCCTCTGTCCAAAGCAGAGCACCTGCGCGTCATTACTCAAGATCGCTCTCTCCACGCTGAACGTGTCGTGGGCCGTTACGGCCCGGATTCCGGGGACCTTGTTCGCGGAGATGGCTACGCCTAGACCTGTTCCGCAGATCATGAGTGCTCGGTCGACTTTGCCATCTTTGATCAATTGGGCAGCTTGAATGGCAACGTGTGGATAGGCGGTCTTGTCGGTGATGGAAGTGACACCGACATCCGTAATGGAAGAGACGAGAGGATTGTTGGAGAGGTGGGCTTTGAGGGCTTCTTTGTAGGAGACACCGGCGTCGTCGCAGGCGATGGCGAGACGGAGAGGTGGAAGTGGGGTTGCTGCCATAGCTGCGTTTGGGACTCAGATGGTGCTGCAAAGTGTCTTAAGCTCGGGTTTTTTATTTTCTCTGGATTTTGGCTTGATTTTTGCGGGGATTGAGATTGATATCAAGTATTGCAGCAAGGAGGATGCTTGTTATGACTAGAGAACAGATGGAAGGTTGGCAAGAATATTACGCTTCGCAAGATGCATAGAGCCCTTAGATTCTTATTCATCAAAGAAAATTCTTTGATCTGGAGCACTCTCCACCTGGTGGATGATACAAAATGATACTCGCGATGGTCCCCATCCCAAGTCTCATGTAATTCTGGAGCTTGGGCCACCCTGGTTCAGCGCTAACTAATACAAAAATGGGTTGGCCAGTACGGTATTCTTATCGATAATGTAAGTTTCGCCGGTACTGGTATGGTACAGGCCGGTATGGTGGGTGATATGCGCCGTGCATCCGAACAGCGGGATGCCGTTTTCAGAAGTTCCGGCGGTGTTTTCGGAATCTCTGATGTCATACCACTAGGGCGATCAACGGCGGTACAATACAAAACCGTACTCCGTACTTCAACTTTCATATTTTCTCATGCTCTTCTGACACTTGAACGGGGTGCCAGTTGAAGGGTCATATTTTGCTCTTAAGCACTGTTACCGAATGAGGATCCCTTTTGCAGTGGAGAACTACATGAATCCTTCGACTCTGATAATCCAATGCCTTGCGTCAGGATAAGAATGCTCTTATTTTACAGTCTTAAAAATGGGCAGGGCAGAAACATCTGCTAGAAGATGATCCCTAGAAGGCTGGTCCTTCCCTCAGCTGCAAAGCTACAACACCTCTTTTACATCATTCTGCTTTTGGGCTTCGTATGTATTCGGGACTCTTACTTCAAAGGCTTGTTGACCGATCTCACTCGGTACGAGCCCATTCAATGTTCAGATTAGCCTTGCTCCTGAGTTAGCGATGAACACGCTTACAATATGTATCCTACCAAAGCTGAGGCACCAAGATTGATCCAGAATGCCAAATTTATGTATGAATAGCACTAATATCAAACAAACCTCAGCTAACATGCTCCCGAAGCTACCAATAGCTACCGTTGAGGATAGGGTTAGCACTAACATAGTGTTGTCTGCTTAGGCTCCAGAATTTTGAAACAAAGGATGATCGAGAGACAGCCTTCGGATGGAAAGGGGTTCGAAGGCATTTTGTACTTTATTTCTATTGGTGTCAAAATGCTGAAAGATTTATTTACTCTTACTCCGTACAGTTCATACAGAGCTTCACCCAGTGACATCACAGATGAGGGACTACAAGAAGCAAACAAGATACTGCGCAGGAACACCTATACACACTGAATCTCAGGGCCTCAGCATTAGAAACAGAAAGCCTTTTGTAAACTAATAATTCTTGCCTTGCTCCATATCACATTGGGAAAAACCCACAGTTCTTCCTTTTAACAATATTACTGAATGGCGTGTAATTTACCCCGCGCCCGGTAATATATATGTCACCATCAAAGCTGGAACCCATGGGCTGTTTGACGGGAACTCCGTATCTAGCATAAGTGCGACTCGGCTTTTTTTTTTTTTTTTTTTTCAGGTTTAGAGTGCTGAAGTATTCTACGGAGTACTACAATATGCTTTTATTGTAATGGTTGCACTCTGCGCTCGATTTTTATTGGCATACAACGCAAAGAAAACAAAACTTGCTTGGAAGGCTCCTGGGAATTTTCCAATCGAAGAAAACCAAAAAGACACAACACAGGTAGAAAATCAATTGACACTGAAGACCTCATCACCATGGCATCCGCACTGGCAGGGCCTCGTTTTCCCCCACTGCCAAAAACGCTCCTCATCATCTCTTTGAAAATGTACTTTACGCCCTCTCGAACAATCGACTATATCCAAGGCCTCCTAGAGCCCCGGAACGACATCATACGGCAAGAGAATAGATCCAAACTCCTTCTCGCTCTTATTCCAGATTTCCTTACCATATATCCCTGCTCTGAAGCAATTAAAGAATTTGAATCCAACCTTGCCGCTCCACAAGATGCAGACACACCACCCCCACTTCTCCTCGGTGCGCAGGATTGTTTCTGGGACAGCTTGGGTCCTTATACAGGCGAGATATCCCCCGTCTGCTTGCGAGACATGAATGTTTCAATTGTCGAGCTTGGACATGCAGAGCGTCGCGCCATATTCGGCGAGACAGACCAGCAGGTTGCACGAAAGGCCGCCGCGGCAGCGGACCAGGGTCTGATCCCGCTGGTGTGTATTGGGGAAGTTTCCACACTGGGACCAATCGTGTCAGAAGCGATTGGTCGCGCGGTGGGGGAGTGCGAGGCGCAAATTAGACCGGTGCTGGAGGCGCTGCCGCGTGATGCGCCGGTGATTTTTGCCTACGAGCCAGTGTGGGCCATTGGGAAGCCACAGCCCGCCGGGGTTGACCATGTTGGTGCCGTTGTGTCGGGAGTAAGGAGTGTTATTGAGAGAATTGATAGACATAGGAAAGGGGAGGTTAGGATCTTGTATGGCGGGAGCGCGGGACCGGGACTATGGGGGCCAGGGGGGTTGGGAAAGGAGGTGGACGGGATGTTTCTGGGCAGGTTTGCACATGATATTGAGGGTGTAAGGAAGGTGGTTAGGGAGGTGGAAGAGAGTTTGAGATAGGTACTCGGGCTCTAACAAGCCTTTTCCGCTGCGAGACCCGCCCTCCACCCCTTTGTTTCGTGTGTTGCCAAGAAAGCCCTTCCGCTCAGACCTGGACCCGCCGACAGCCGGGTCTCGCGCTAATTCTAAATGGGCTTAGCCTCGGATGCAACATGATTTGCTGACTTCCAGGGCCAGCGGAGTCCCTGGATTACTCAGCAACAGCCCCCAGAGAGCTTCCATCCGATTCTTTGGGCATCTGCGGGCATCGCGCGGCCGGCTACACCCTCGACCTGTTTGCTCAGCAGGGAAGATAAAAAAGTAATATGGAGATGATGTGCACGGCTCTTTGTTTGCTGAGGTAACACTGGCCGCGGAGAATGTCGCGAAAGGAGAAAGTGGTCTTACCTTGCGACCTAAGTTTTATTTGGATGGCACTGTCACATTGGCAGTAGAAGAGCGAGCAATTTGTTCCTTTGCCATAGGACGGCGTCGTTCTAACAACTGCGGTGAGGAGACTGTGTTTTCTCCCAGCACACATTGAAATTTGCTCCTTCTACGGAGTGCTCCGTACCGCACACCAGAGTGGCGTGCATACAATCAGATACCACAGATTCAAGTTACACCATCCTGCTTCAAACGAACACACTAGGGCGCCATGGCGTATGAACTCAAGGCGAAAGGCAATGAGCGGTACAAGGAGGGGGACTATCAAGGAGCGGAGGAGCTATACTCGCAAGCGTGAGCAACCCTCCCGTGGCATGCTTTTGATTCATTCCCCCGCTTATTTGGTCTCTGATAACTCACATCTCATGCAGAATCCAGAAGAACTCCCATGAGCCTGCCTTTTTCAACAATCGTGCCCTTGCCCGCATCAAACTTGAATCGTGGGCTGGTGTCGAGCATGATGCACGCATGGCTATGGAGCTCTACGGGCCTAAGGACCCCGCCTCCCTCAAGTCGCAGTTTTATCTCGCACAGGCGCTCTTAGGGCTCGGACGCCCCTCGGAGGCATGTGAGGTTGCTCTCGCTGCGTACAAGATCAGCCTGGAGACCAAGAGTCCGAATTCGGAGCCATTGTCGAACACGATATTAAGGGCTAAACAGGCTATTTGGGCGGCGAAGGAAACGGCTAGATTAAGGGAAGCAGACGAGACTCTAAAACAGCTAGAGGGGCTCATGGAGGCAGAGTGTACGAAGGAACTTGAACAGCTGCGACTGCAGTTTGAGGCGGGTGAGATAGGGGCGATTGGATATGCCGAGGACCAGCGGATATTGCGGGCGGAGGCACAGAAGAAGGTGGATAATGTACGAGAAATATTCGCAGCTGCCAAAGGGGATGATATGAAAGAAAGGGTGAGTTTTTTCTTTCCTCTTTTTTTTAAAAAAAAAAAGCCAAAAATTAGCGTTATCCCGCCTCCAGCGATACCCCGAGATGCTGAATTCACGAATTCTTAGGTTGTCCCCGATTATCTCATCGACAGCATTAGCTTTGAGATCATGCATGACCCGGTGGTCACTCAATCCGGCCATTCCTTTGACCGAGTTAGCATCCTCAAACACCTCCAACAAAACCCATTTGACCCCATCACGCGCGTGCCGATGTCTGCCAAGGATCTGCGGCCGAATTATGCATTGAAAGCCGCCTGTGAAGAGTTCTTGCAGAAGAACGGCTGGGCAGTGGATTGGTGATTACGAGTCTCATTGCACCTTTTATCCCCTTTCTGGATTTTTTCTATTTCCTTTATGCGTGTGCACTCTATCCTTCTCACTTTGTATCTGTACAAAATACCCTTCATACTTAATGTTTTGCATAGCTTTGGGCGTTGTTTGCAGGCTGCTTTGGCTGGTTTATCCATGTGAATGTGCTTTTGGGCATATGACTCTACTTATTCCATACAGGAATGACTTATAATCAAGCATCTTTGCTACCTTGAGGACCCCTAGAGCCTAGCACCAAGTTGGAATCCCTCAAGAATTTCAGCCTCTGGCATACAACAATCCCTTATCCTTGCTATTGTGCATGCCAGTTGTAATGTAAACACCACAGAGCCACGTGTTTAGTTCTAAGAATATAGAATCAACCCCTGACTGCTTGGATGTTTGGAAAGTACCATTTTTCGTCTCAACAATTTGGAGGGGAACTCTTCGGGTGGAAATGTCATCATCTGCCGCGTGACCGATGCTTTTTACCCCTCCCCCACCAAATATCAGCGCATCCCCCCCAGCAGAGCCACACGCACGCCGGCGAAGGAAAAGGTAGGATTTCCAGCGCAGCCTTTGCTTTTTTTTGTTTACTTTATTATCTTAAGTGGCAGTGCAACTATATATCCTGGCTTTTGCTGTTATTTCTGCCATATATTCCATTTCCCGGTCCTCCCAATTTGCAAAACCCTGGCTAAAGTGTCTACCCTAACGCGCAGTTAAAAAGACCCGTTCGTATCTAGAGCTATTTCCAAACAAGAACACGGAAGATTTAGAAGAGCAGGCCGTGACAGGAATATAACAATGACTGCGAAAACCCCCGAATTCGAAGCCGCTGTGGAAGCGAGCCGTAAGCTCCTCGCCAAACCGACTGACGACGAGCTTCTCATGGTAAATACACCAATCTTCTTCCCATTTCTTCCCTGATCCAATCATCAACCACGTCTTCCATAAAGCAATGAGTGGAGCAGAAAGTAGAACGAATAAGCTAACATATATTTTGCTACCGATATAGCTCTACGCTCTCTTCAAGCAAGGCATGCAAGACCCGCCCTTTGAGACTGCCCCGGTCCCAGGAACTTTCGACTTCAAGGTATTCCACTCTCGTCTTCCTCTTTTTCTTCCCTCTTTCCGCCTTTCTGCATCCAGTTCTCAAGTTTCATCCCTCTTTGCTTTTCCTTGCTGAGCTCAAATTCGTTTGATAGGGCAAGTACAAATATAACAAGTGGAAGAGCATCGTCGAGGAGGGTGTGACTCCCGAAGAAGCACAAAAGAGATATGTCGAATTGATCGAGAAATTGAAGGCCAAATACGGTTACGATGAGTCGAAGGAGCCGGAGCAGGTTGGCAGATAAGGACGTGTCTGCTTTCTTATAAAACTAAATATGGATGAATTGCGGCCCTCGAGTGAGGGTTGACTGCCCCCTTGAAGGGGTCAATATCGGGATTTCGAACCGTACTCAGTGGGGATAAATGCTTATTGTCTTTTATGGAGAGGATTGGATCTTTCATGGCCGGTGCTTTGTTAGCTTGTGAATCGTGACTATGGGCCAGAGAGATACTACCACACAGCACGCTGACATATAGACATTTTACACCCGCGATACATGAAGTGCATATTCCCCTGTTTTGTTTCTTTTTCTTTTTCTTTTATTTATTTATTTATAACACTTTTACTGGCCTTGGTCTTCTATTTTGAAAAGGTTAGCCTGTTTGGTAAAAGAATACTTCTGTCTCTATGGGATAAATAACAGCTCTAATAATTATACACGGAGTGAGTCATAAAAAGAGTTTCAAGGCACTAATCTCTGCGTCATCCCTCTTCCCAAGTCTGACCTAACCAATCCGGCTCTGTGTGTGTTGCTGTGGCGCACCATGGGATATCCCTAGAGGAATAGGGCTTCAGGGGAAGATTATATGGCATCCGGAAGCCGACGAGCGTTTTCCACGCTTTGGACTTGTCATCTCCTCGCGATGGCTCTTCCAGCTCTAGCCTTTCCACTTCTGATAGGCAAGGAGCATTTTGCCTAAAACAGGGTATCATCTGTGCATATTCACCTCTTTCATATGCCTTGGATAACATTTTATCATCACGATCAGCCGTTTGAGGATCGTTAAGGAACAAATCCGGCCACACCAACACCCCAATCTCCCAGCTACAGACCCTGACTTCCTGATTTGCATTGATCGCTGCACCCCATGCTTGAGTGGATAAATTTGCAGATGTCACCATTGCCCAGTCTATCGTGCACATATCTTCGGCGTCTGAGAAACGTATATAGGTCTTTATATGTGGTGCGGCTCGGCGACGCCCGGCTTCCCGCACAAAGGTATTATTCGGCGTACTCTCGTCAAGTGTAACCGTACTTGATACACTCTTCTCAATATCAGCATTTTGGTTGTTTTCGCAGTCACCAGCCCAGTGACAGAGGTAGGGCCGCATATAATCAAACTGCTTTTGCTGTGCTGCGCTTTGAAGCTTCATGTGAATTGACCCGCCGGATCTGTAACCATTTAGAGACCTGCGAATCTCATCGGGGGTGGGAAATATAACTGAGAAGCGGGCAGCTGCCGAAGGAGGACAGAGAGCATTGAAAAAAGTGTCTTTAAGCCATTTATCCGTTTGGCCAAGAGACGCTATGGATGATATCTAATATTCCTTCAGAACTTGAATAGTTTCTTGTAGATAGGCAATTTAGTAGATGGAACTAACCTGAATAACAATTCGTGGTTTTTCCGGCTCACATGACAGCTGTTTATGGGTCGGTATCTGGCGCAACACGTCCTGCACTGCGGGCCAGCCCCATATGGTCTTCTTCTGTGAATCAAGATTCGGGATTTCTTGTCTTGAAGGAACGCTGGCGATCAATGCAGCACGCACTTCATCAAAGTCGTATTTCTTAAGTTGCTCAACTAAGGGGCCTGTCTTTTTTCGGCCATAAGCATCTAGGTAGGCGAGGATGTCTCTTTTAAATCGACGTCCACTGCCAATAATACCAGAAATAGACTGGTCGTAGTCTCTGTCTAATGGCAATAATGGAAGCAGTGGTGATCTCCAGACCCCTTGGCACATGTTTGCCCAATCTCCTGGGATCATGTTTGCGGTATGGATGATAATTCTGCAACACATCAACATCCGGGTACAGTAGCACAAAGGACTATTACTTACTGTGCGCAATCATCATGTCGTATCAAGATCATCATTTTCGAATGGTGTGTGCCGAATGGCTCTGGCATGTATGCAATGATTGGTTCCACATTTTGGTAATGGGCACAAGCTTCCTATCGTCATGGGTCAGCACGTCAAAGTATAGATAATATCAAAACAAGGAAACAGGGAGCATTCACGTCGATATAAATTCTATTCGCAGAATCCTTCTTCCAAGAACCGTGAACAACTCGGATCCTAATTAGATTTTTCACATCGGGATCAAACTGTTTCATTAAAAAGTCGATATCAAAAAGATAATTGAACTGCCAACATTCCTTGATCAAGGGGTCACCGAGAATATCCTGCAGCGTTACAGTGTCGCAATTATAGGTAGATTTCTCGGATAAGTCGCGTATATGCGTAAGCTGCACAGGAGAAGAGATAACATTCAACCCAGTTTTGATCCCGATGGGTTCTGAGTGGTTTGCGCGGGGTGCCTCCGAGGGCAATGGCCTTGCCATCGCTTCTTGCCGCCGGGATAATGCAGGGGGCGTTATTGGCCGACTTAGTGACGATAGTGACCGACTTCCCTCGCCATCGCAGCTAACATTTTGTTGCGAAGGCCAACCAGAGTCGTGGGATCGCTTCAGCCGTTTGGCAGAGCGACCATTACTGGGGCCATCCTGTTCCATTTCTACCCTCCAAAGGCCGTGCTTCAAATGAGTAGTAGAGCACAGTCCTTTTTCAATTTCCCCCTGTCTGTGAAACGGATGTTATCCCAGTCCGCAATGGGAAAGCAGCGGTTCCCATCAATTAGTTTTGCGACGGCTCTAATAAAGCCTCATTAGACAACAGATTATAATTTCGGTTCATGAGCTGGTCTAATTCCATGGATATGCTCCAACAAGAGCATGCCCTGGGGATTGTCTCGTCGGCGGAGAGGAGCTTTGGTAGGCAGAACGTGATGTCGCTTTGACTTTCTTAGCGTTTTGTGGGGTCTTAGCGGCGAGGCAAAGTTACCACGGAATACGAAAACCTTAACTATCTTGTGCTCCTCACCACACCGACGTCTCCTCTTCACGCAGGCTAGTGCAACAACGCTGAACTCGGCCACTTCGCACCGCTTAGCTAGTCAGTCACCGACTTGGCATAGAGCTGGCTATGAATCCCTCATTTCTACGAGCGGGCTGCTGGCCTGCTGTTCAAGGTAACAGCGTGTACCCAACCAATCAACTTGGCATTCATTAACTCATATCAAAAGGATTGGAGGATCTTAGGAGGGCTATCACCGAAAGATTGCGGAGTCTTCCCGGATGAGAATTGCCAAGCTGATGTACGTCTCCCGGAGCGGATTATTGGCCGTGAAATGCGGTTTGCAGAATGCTAAAATATGGGTCACAAAGTTGGAGAAACGCGGAGGCGAACGCATATGTTTTGATTCCACCCATCCGCCCCAAACCCAGCTGAGGGACAATTCTGGAATCCTTCTGTCTCAGTTAACATTCATGAATATGGCCGTTATGCGAACATGCCGAATATACAATATCAAACACCGAGTGTCTCGGGCGAACCTACATATTTGGGGGCCGCATGTCAGGAATCTCTCAATACCTTCCTCTCACGGCACTCGATGACTCGGGAATGAGGATATGATTGTTGTTTGCAATCTCTATTCAGGCCTTTGTCTGGACCATGAACTGGTGGCAGCAGAGCAACACTCCCCACACTAGTGTCCTGATCCCCGAATGAAACCATGCTAGACTAGAAGCTAGGATGGACATACCATTTTCGTCAAAGTGTATGGATAGCTGCGCTCCATCTTGTCATTGTGCCCAGCTTCTAGTTGCATTGACCTCGTTCTGAGGAGCTCGCCCGACTATTTGAATGTTTTTCTGGCTTTAACATCGTGCCATTCCTCAATTTCTTCGCCAGAAACTAATTCTGCGGACCGAGCGAGAAAGGATACAAAGACCCCTCACAATGATCCGTTGCTACGTAATAGCTATTCCCCCACTCGTGCAGATAGAGCTTCTGAGGGATACATCTTTAGCGGTTGTCGCTGTTTCTCTTTTCACTTTTGAGGAGCTTATTGACATCCAACGTTGAGGATCAAGTGCAACCAACCTCCCATTAAATGCATCTATTTTTTCAGAGCTCACGATCGATCCCAATTCGACATTATGTCTTCAGAACTCGACCAGATCCAACCAAGCCACCACCAGCCAAGTATGTCCGTTCTTCCGGCTGGCGATATTCCAGTGATGGATCACAAGATGGATGAAGACGAGAGGATCATCGTGTCTCTTGGATACAAACAAGAATTCAAGCGTGAATTTTCGCTCTGGACGACTTTCTGCGTTAGTTTCTCCGTTCTGGGGTTACTACCTTCGTTTGCGAGCACTCTATGGTACGGTGAGTGCTGACCAATGATTGCTCCCAAATGGGCTTACATGAGTGTTGTTACTAAATATAATTGAAGGCATGGGATATGCTGGCACGGCAGGAATGGTATGGGGCTGGATTATTGCAATGATATTCATTCAATGCGTGGCCATGGGCATGGCGGAGCTTTGTTCGTCAATGCCCACAAGGTGCGTGTTTGTGTTTACACTCCTAGCCGTATGATACTGAGATTAATTCATGTGAGTCAGTGGCGGCCTTTACTACGCTGCTGCTGTTCTCGCTCCCGATGGATGGGGTCCATTTGCGGCATGGGTGACCGGGTGGTCGAATTGGATGGGCCAGGTGATGGCAGCGCCATCTGTCAACTATGGCACGGCGGGCATGATTCTTGCTGCTGGTTCGATATATAATCCCGATTATGTGCCGACGCCTTACCAAACCTTTCTGTTGACCACTTTTATCATGTTGATTCACGGAGTGCTTAGCAGTATGCCAACGAGATGGATTGCTGAGATTAATTCGTATGGATCAACCTTCAACATCATCTGCCTTATCATCGTCCTCATCGCCATTCCTGCGGGAACTACGAATTCCCCGAAGTTCAACTCATCGGCCGATGTTTGGGGAACAATATATAAAGGGACCTCGTTTCCTGATGGGGTTGCAGTATTGATGTCGTTTGTTAGCGTGATTTGGACCATGTCTGGTTATGATTCCCCGTTTCATTTGAGTGAAGAATGCTCAAATGCGAACATCGCCTCCCCCAGAGCTATTGTTCTCACTTCCGGAGTGGGAGGACTCATGGGATGGTTCCTCCAGGTCGTTGTGGCATACACCGTCAAAGATATTGACGAAGTGCTGATGTCTGAATTGGGACAGCCGTGGGCATCTTACCTGTTCCAAGTGATGCCGAGAAAGGCAGCAGTTGCTATACTGGCATTAACAATCATCTGCGGCTTTTCAATGGGTCAAGCTTGTATGATCGCTGCATCCCGGGTGACTTACGCATATGCTCGCGACGACTGCTTTCCGTTATCAAGGATTTGGAAGAAAGTCAACAAACATACGCAGACTCCAGTGAATGCAGTCTGGTTCAACTGCGTAGTCGGCATTCTGTCCACTTTGCTGATATTTGCCGGTGACCTTGCAATGGGTGCCCTATTTTCGATCGGGGCTATTGCCGCGTTCGTCGCATTCTCCATTCCAATTGGCATTCGTATCTTTGTCGTCAAAGAAAAATTCCGACCTGGTCCTTGGAATCTAGGAAGATATAGTCGTGTAATTGGCGGAACGGGGGTGTCGTTTGTGATCTTGATGCTACCGATTCTCTGTCTTCCCGCTTATACAGGTTCAGATTTGACGTAAGTCTCATTGCACCCCTTATCATTTCTCCTTGCCAGCGGTAGCAACCTGTGGGATAACAAACCATGCACTACAGGCCAAAAGAAATGAATTGGACTTGCATTGTCTATGGCGCCCCTATGATCGGCGTGCTCATTTGGTGGATTGTTGATGCAAGGAGGTGGTTCAAAGGGCCGAAAGTCAACGTTGAACATCACATGTTGGATCGTGTGCAAATTGGAGTTGATCGAGTTGACACTAAAGGCTCTGAGAAAGAGGCAGTACAGCAGCTGGAATCTATTGATGTCTAATGTGTGGAGGATATGCATGCATTTTTGATCTAGGTTTCTTTATGCACATATCAATTCGGCCTCTCCATTTGTTTATGTTGATTTTATTAGGAGTTCAATTCTCCTCTAGGCTCATGGCATTAAGTATTGTGAAACACAGAACCATTATAGTGATGATCATCATAAAACCACTAACTGTTATACAACTTTATATGTTCCCTTCAAAGCAACATTAGGACTGGCCTGTGTTTGTTTTGTTTGCTTCTTGCACGCGCTCCTTCGGCTCAAATCCTGCATCCTTCCGCGACACCGCACTTCAAGTTCCAATCCAACATATAGCTGAGGCTCCAGTCCAGACATTTGTCTTCCTCCAGACACCTAGGAAAGGCCAAAAGGGTTCTCCTGCAGATAGCTAAGCCTCTACACAGATTTCCCTGACACGCCTAGCAGCTAGACCGCAAAATCGGGATTAGTGTGTTGTGTATTCTGGGCTGAATAGAGTACTCCGTACCGCAACCTTCTTTATTAACTAGAGTAGGCACGGATGTATACAAACGCAAGCTGGGCGTAGACGTGCATCTCTGCCTCGCGGCAACGTTGAACTCTGTTGACCAGGTCAAGATTTTTCGAGGCACATGAAGTTGTTGAAGGGACAGAACACTTGGGACAATACAAAAAAGGGAACCCAGTGCGACACGCCTATGGCTGGAGGCGATTGAGCATACGGCAAATGTCACCTTTAGGAGATATCTTCTTGTGCCCAAGAGGAACGTAGGCCAAAATGGGAACCTTTAGCTTCTTGCAAGTGACGATAAACTCCGTTGAAGAGGACGTCGACGACCCCTCCGTCCAGGGCCGAAAATATCAATATTCTTGGTGCCATCTAGAACTCGATTGCATTCCTTGGCGCGGGTACGTATGCTATCATACATGTCCGGATAAAGGGGTTATCTGGCGTCCGTTTTCGGGATTCTCCTCAAAGTACTGGCGTAGAAAAGACAAATGTGTCATTTTCTCCTCAGGCCATATACCGGAAGGTACCAATATTCGCAATCACTGCCTTTATTGCAGCGAAAGCGTATCATTCATCAGGAATGAGTTTTCGAGCGCCAGGTTGCTCCGAGAAGGACACACCTAAAGTCTCGGGTACAACAAGGCAGCCTCTAGTCCCCAGGGCTATGATCTCAGGCACTCAGCAAAAAAAAATTCAAAGGAGAGATCTCATTTGTAGCGAGTGTGAAGTCACCAGAAAGGCTACTTGTAGTGATGCAAAGGGCAAGCGTGTAGACTCCATTCTTGAAGCCGTGTTAAACATAATCAGCATGATGAAGCGTCCATTAACGTCAACATCCCCATTTCCTAATTGCGCTAGCCTTTCTATGACCAGCGTCCCAAGACAGCTTACCCCTGAACTGGGTACTAGTGGTTATAATGCATTCAAAGATCCAGAACACGGTGTGGATGTGTCTCTCCTATCCCGTCGGTGATCCCTCCAACAAGAAGGGCGTCTTTGACGATGGTCATTGTTGGACTGTTCAAAATGCTCCGATGCCCATCGTAGATACGCTGCGAATGTTCCTGGCTTGCGGTCGGCATCACAGTTCTCTGGCTGATCCCAAATCGTAGCCAGGTACTCTCTCCCATGCACAACAAGCCCATGGGATGCTTTCAGGATCGAACACATTTCTAGAACACTTTTGACAAACGCATCTGCTTCTTGATACTGTTCATCATCCGGAGAAGCACCCTCTCGGAATGTTGACAGCAGCTCGAACTGCTTGCGGCCGTCCCAGTTAGTCAGAATCTAAGCCCAATAGACATCCCTAACCCCGTCAAGGATAAGGGTCCTGTTTTCGAAGAATTCAGGCCCATCCCAACCAGTAGTAAGGTCCTTGAGGCGTCTAAGGCGCTCGAGGCAGAAAATATGAGCGAGATAATCTGCAATTTCCTCATACGTGAAGATGGGCCTCTCCCCTTCCGGCGCGGGTACTTGATATTTCGGCAAGTGTTTTAATAATGGATGATTGCGCATGGAATCGCAATTGGTCACTCCCTTCCAAACCTCGAGAAAGATATCGTGCCGATATTTAATGCATAAACTGCCCTTTCGACCGGCAATAAATCCGTTGTAGAAAATCGAAGACTCCGGGCCCATCGGAAAGCCATAACCGGCCATTTCAAACGGCGTGTTCGGGTCTTCTAACAGATTCCAGCGAAGGGTGTCAAGGCTTTTGAACAGGAATGTTCCAACATCTATCCAGACTCCGCCATAGAGGTAAACGAGTGGAAGTCGGACAAGATCACCGCTATGTGGCCCAACGTGTGTACCCGTCATTTTCTGGTTAATAACCGCGTCTGCGAGGAAAGAGGAGGGCAAGCATTTCAGGGCATGTGTCGGAGAACCTTCGACAAGGTCAAGGACCCGCACCGTCCACGCCGGACCGAGACGCCGAACCCAAGTGATGACATTTCTCTGGCACCATTGCGGGCAATTGGCGAGCCCACGATTCCAAAATGCCCAGACATTGCGCTGCGAGGAGCTCACGGGCTTGAATGTCTGCAGGTCTGGGATTATCTCGGAGTCAAATCTGGTATCCCGTGAAGCATTGGTAAGTTGAGAACTGTCTCGAATAGAACCCACGGCGAAGAAGGGGAAAGGATTTCAGGCGTATCTTGTCAGGAGGTAGTTTAGGTCAGTAGACGATTAAATATAAAGGGACGACCTTTCCATAGCCATCAGATTTGACCCGTGGATTTTGGGAAAGCGAGGAGACTTTATGTACTCCTCTCGGAGTTCCCAATTCCGCAACGACAGACGGCCAGGGTTATACTTCGACCAGTGGGATCGCTTTGCAGATTTGCCGGCTTTCATTGTCAACAATGACAAGGACTCCCCGCGATTGCCACCGCAAAGGGAAAACTGTGATACACCTATCAACAGCAAGAGAGTAACTCTCACTCTCCTTCTTGTTACCTTTGCCCCTATCAGACGAGTAAAAAGTTAGCCATTTGATGTGCCCACGGCATCGCAAAGTTCATCGGCGACCAGCTACTCTTGATTTCAGCTCTTGTTGAATTTTCGATTTCAGCTAGGCTGGTCCCGACTGTTGGTACAGGGATCTTCGATTTGTTGATCCACCTCAGCGATTGGTGACCAGATTTTCTGAGGAATATGATTTGAAAGGTGAGAACACAGCCCCATGATCAACCTCTCATGGGTACTTGTCAGATGCGAATTGATCCCAATCGGGGTTCACAGCAGGTCTGTTAGATCAGACAACACCCATGGTTGGAATTGCGCTGGCGGAACCTCTGAAAATGAAGTTGCATATCGTCCATAGCTGCCCGAGGGCGTCACACATTGCAATGGCTCATGGGAAACGCCAGGTCATCATTATCACAAGCACAGCGGGGATATATGTAAACCTTGTCCAAAGTATAGAGCCAAAATCACACCTCAGAGCACCAAAGGGCTCTCTTCACCCAAAATGTGAGAAATTTATGTAAGTAAACCTGCCACGGGGCATAAAAGCAAGTAGGTACATCAATAATCTAAAGCATCTTGTACAAATCCATGCATGTGAATCGTTGCGGTCCATGAAACTCCCCAGCTCTAATCACCGAGCGTTATATATCGATTTTTTTTTGCAGCTTTCCCCAGGTGTGCTAAGACCATACAGCACTCCATACCCAGGAACCAGGAAAGAAACACCTTGTCTATCAGGCCCATGCCCTCCCCAAACCTATATTGACATAGAACAAGATCAACATAGAAATAGCACAAGGGTATACATGATTGCCATGAAATATCCCTGCCATGCAAATAGCCAATTAAATATTTCCTCAAAACATATAAAATCCCACGGCAAACATTCTATCCACTGAATGGATATGCCGTGTGCATCAAGATGATTTGTGACGAAAAAAATAAATTCAAATGAAGGAGATATCTCCGTCGAGAAGAGAAAATCGCAAAATGAGGTAGTCATGAGAATATTCCCGCCTTGCAGCTATCTCCTCGTCATGAATTCCAACTGCCGCGCTGGTATTTCGGCAACGATTCTCCTTCAACTTCAGCCTGTGTACCCGAGACAGGATGGCCGAAAATATCCTCTTCTGTGAGAGCTGGCGCAGATGGTTCAAAGTTGTTTGAAAAATCACCTTCATGGATGGGAGCGTAACCGTAATCACCAGGGGAGCTGGCTTCATTTAATAGACGCTGTCGCTCGAGTTCCTGCTTGTCATCTTGAACACGCGACTGAGGTACGGTGTTATTCAAACTTGCGTTGTTCCTGGCAGCTTCTGGCCACGCGTGAGCTTGAGGATGGCCTGAAGGAATTGACGGAGGTGAGTGATCATTCGTAATGCAGTAAGTTGGCGTAATTGTATCCGTGGAGGGGGCAGATACAGAAGGTGAAGTGTTGCGATTTACGGGGTTAAAATCGTTGTGATTATGGCGGGTGTTTGCGGGTTGATAGTTGGAATCGTCTTCAGAGAGGACGGGCGCGGAAGGTGGCAGTCCATGCGGTGCGGAAGACGGACCAGCTACATCGCCTTCGTGGGGTGGTGGCTCGCTGGGGAGAAGCATTTCCTCAGCACGGCGTAATCTCGTCTTTTCGTCAACGTTCTCTTCCGGCTGGGCGGGTGGGATAAACATAGGAGGGGGGAAATCGGGGGAATAGTCGCTATGCGGAGGAGGGTGGTCTGGCCAGTGTGAGGTTCCCGCGGGATCGTATCCGTTGTGGGGCGGCGGGGATTGGCTGGCGGATCGCGTATGGCGAGGTGTAGATTGTTGTTCTTGCAGGTCGTCAGGCGATGTGGATTGCTGGTGGCTCTGATCCGAAAGCGAAGATGCGTCTTGACGCTGGCCACGGGAGCTATCTTTCGATCCGACGACGATCTCGAAAAGACATACAATGACGCTCTTATCTCTCCGAACCTGTTCGGTGTCAAGGATGTTGCCGGCAACATTGGAAGTTGTCATGCCACGCTGAATTTCCGCAGCAGTATTCATCTTGCCATTGCCATAAAAATTATTGCTCATCATGTTCAATCTTGGAAGAAACCGATCCTGACCCGCCAGCTTTCCTCGGATATCCATCACCACCTCTACGTAGTAACGGAAGCTAATCATCGCTCCGGGCACACGCGTGATCGTCGGAAATGCGTTTTCCGGGATACGAATCGATGTTTTAATCTCGGCGGTCATGGTGTTGGGGTCGACGATCAATGCACAGAATATTTGCGACAAGTCCTTACGGAAGACACTGCTTGTCCGCGTCACACCAAAACTTAGGCCACCCAGTCCAGTGCGCGACTTTGGGTAGTAATCTTCATAAACGGGTTTCTTCCCTTTCTCAGGCGTGCCAATCGGTAACTGCGGATACATATCAATTCTTCCTTGCCTGTAGAGAGTGATGATGACTCCGTTGGGGCTTCTGATGGGCTTCGTGTGTTTGATCGAGATATTCACTGGCAAGAGGTCTCCTGGGAGCACACCAGCGCGCAGTACCTTTGTTGTAGCAGTGATTTCTCGGCTAGCAGAAGATGTTGCACCACTCCACAAATCATCGTTTCGTTGGGCGCCGCACCTGGCAGAGCTGGGTTCGCTGACGATTTGGAAGCTCTGGGTGCTATTACTAACGCAACTTGAATTGCTTCTTTCACTTGGTACGGGGCTAAGAGGCGGGCCCGAGTCAGAAGACTGCGGTTCGAGCGACGACGCCCTTCGGGGCATTTCGCTAGATGTAGACTTTGTTTTCGACCTTGTCTTTGACCTTTTTGATATAGGTTCTAGGGATATGACACGGGGCTTTGGAGCGGGTAAGTTTGCGATATCAATCGTTTCGAGGAGTAGGATCCGCTTGTCACAGCTTATAGTGGGGGAAATGGTGGTTGGACGGGTTAAGGTAGAGGTGATCACATAGGAGATTGTACCTCGTTCGAACTAAGAGACGCGAGATTAGCGTAATTACACAAAAATATTCAATGTTATTGAAGGGGGAGCACTTACGTTGATACTACTCGGGAGGCTGTAGGGAGGGAAGCACAGCTCAAAGCGAAATTTATAGATTCCCTCCTTCAATCGGCCATCGCCGCACAACACAATCTCATCCTCGAATAACGTAGCCAAACCGTTCCCGAGGTATTCGCCATTTCTTCGCCCTCTTCCCGTCCCTGGAAATCCGGAGTCCTCCGCTGTCTCTCCCGGAGCGACTGGATTCTTGTAGACTTTCGCATAACCATGCAGGCAGACGACCAAATGTGTAATCCGAACGGGTTTGACGACGACCAAGCACACTGAGCCATTCACGATATCTCCGGGCGAGTACGACCTCCAGGGATCATCTGGCTGAATGTAGAACTCGGAAATGTTCCTGTTTCGATTGCCGAATCGGTTTGTGAACTTGGATAGAATGGAGCGTTTCCGGGCGGGGGAGGCTGAAGTCGCGTCGCCATTGGGGGAGTCTAAAGCCATGGCCGGTGGAAACGAGTTGACTCCATAAGCGTGCTTGATGCCCGGGTTGATTGGAGGTGTGATTTGATCGGCAGAGGAGTCGGATGGGAGAGGAACAGGGGATAAGAGAGGACACGAAGCGCCCCGCCAGCGTCAGCATTCGATGTCGAAGAGGGAGTGAACGAAGCGCAAGAGACTTGCGGGCGAAAGACGGTAGGGTCAGGGATTTTGATAATCGGACGAATATGTACAGGGTGATCTGGGGAGGAAGAGCGGGAGTGGGTCATAGAGAGAGGGCGAAGTCAGATGCGGCAGCGGACTCGACGACGGTGACAGGGGGATTCGAGCGGCATGGTTCCGCCAGCATGGAGATGAGTGCGAGCCAGGAGTGATCGGCCTGGCAGATGGGAGGAAATAGGGAAAAAGAAAGTGAGCAAAGACAGCGAGAGAGTGGGAGAGAGAGGGTGAGGGAGGGAAAAAGACAGAGTGAGAGGATGCCCGGGCTGTGAAAAGGGAAAAAGTACGCCAGCAGGTCGTTAATGTGGAGATTCAAGCCCTTTGGTTACAGCAGCGAAACCCCCCCTGTCGGCTCGTATCTTCTACCAGTATTGCTTCTGCCTCTCGTCTGCTTGTCCGGTCTTCCTCGTCTGGTCACGTTCTAGACTGCCTTGCGGGAAGTTAACCCCGTACTCTGTCCCGACGACCGCCCTGACTGAGGTCTCACGGTGCCCGCGCGTCCCTCGACACACGACGAGGTGGCAACGAACCCCCCCGGAAAAGAAAGTTTTTTTAGAGGATGGGGGCGTCTCGGTTGGAGAGTCAGACATCGCCCGGTGGTGAGTGGCTCGCTTGGGACGGTCAAGCTTCGCCAATCTCAAGGCTTGTCGAGGCTTGCTGAGTCGTGTCTCGAATCCTGCTGGTCCATTTTATGAACTCTCTTAACTTTTTCCCACCATCTCAGGACTTACTAGGGTTCCTTAGCCAACCAGAGAAGAGAAACCGGCTCGCGCTCTGGAATCATCTTCGAGAATGCTCCGTGTAAATGCTACATCACTGCTTTCCCCCCCACCCCGGTCAAGGGTGTCGATAGATCTCGGAGCGACTCTATAGATGTACGAGCATTCTAATTTAACTCCCAGACTTCGTCTTTTATCCGCCGTGTTTACTCCGTACCAAGGATCAATTCAAGCCCCCGTCCCTTAATCTAGGCGGGCTAAACAGTGTCTGTACTTTCCGGACAGTCGCTCGTTTGCTTTGGCAGCGAATATCCTGGCTCCCTTGGGGCACAGCACTGGTGCTTAACCGAGGGTCCTGACCATCATTCACACCAAAAAGTTACGGCCCGAGCAGTGTGCCCAATTCCTCCAAAATCCTCCGAAGATGGAGCAAACAGAACGAGATCAACAAGTGGGACCAAAACCCTATATACCGTACATGATGTACTCCGTACCCAGACTGAAGTAACTCTGTAACCCCGGAGTGCCAGCATTCATGGTCGCGTCACAGCCCAAACCGGGGGCCTTTTACCAACCTGTCAAATCTGTCTGTCATTTCATCACAAGAATCAATCCTCATGAACTTTCTGTGGGGGTATTGATGGCTGCTCCATTCTCAGCATCCTTGCCATGACCTCGTGCCTCAACGCTTAACATTGTTAGCTATTCAATAGTTCGACTCAGGATCGGTCCTCCGTACATCCGAGGGCGCCTCCACCTTATTACGACGCCCACCGATCTTGCAGTTATAAGAGCCAGGGAAGAAGCGACAGCAACCCGCATCCCCTTCTCCCAATAAAATGCCTGTCGCCGGCTTGACGCTACTGCACGTGTCCACACTCTCTCCCTGCTGGCAATCGACAAACACGGCATCGATCTGCACACTAGAGTCGAGAAAAGTCACAATCACACACCGACAACCCTGAACACCCCATCACATTCCTTCGCCATGAAAAAATCTCTCAGGAATCAAGCGGATCCGCCGCACGATCAAGCTTTCGCAGACGCCCAACCCAAAAATGCTTGTCTGGCAGCCGAAGCTTTTCACAAGCTTTTCTGCCAAGAGTGGACGGAGAATGGCGTCGGCAACTCTTTTGTGATCACAAATAAATGCATTTCTCATTTTGTGGCACTTAGAAGAAACCTGCTAGAGCAAGCTATATGTATGAGTACCAAAAAGGAAATAATCCCACTAAGACAAATACATGCAAATGCTCTAACAGGTATGCATGTAACTATAATAGTTCATTCACACAAAACAGATTCTCCCTACTCCATAACAGAAAGATTAAGATGCCTTTTTTTCGTCTTGGTCTACAGAGCCAGAGTATGTATAACCTTTCTTTCACTCTTTTTATCTCCTCCTGTTCGCTGATCCACAGCTTGATTACATATGTATTGCTGCACTGTAATTACTCGCTCTTTTTCTCTTTAATTTCTCGCATCTCCTGTTTCATTCGTGTGATCGTCCCGCTTCCTCCGTAAACCAGTCCTGTGTAGAGCATGGCAACACTAGCACCCGCATCGAGGACCGCCTGCGCCTGTTTGCCATTCGTAATACCGCCGGATGCAAACAGGACCTTCGCCGGCTGAAGATCAGCTCTAGCTGGCGGTGAAGCGATATCTATTGGAGCACCCTCATCCGCCACGGTTCCATCACTAGCGGTTCCCGGTTGACCCCCTCGCGCAGGGTGTCTATCAAGAATGTTTCGATATCTTGATACAAGCGCTACTGTCCGATTAAACAAGTGAGGGCCCGAAAATCCTCCGGTTTCTTGAAGTGTAGTCTGTTCCTGCACGGACAGTTGGTAGCCCTTTGGCAACGGGTCCGGTCTGCGGTTGGTAGTGTTTCCGACGATAACACCATCGACACCAGATGCCCAAACTGCGTCGCAGATGCCATTCACCTGCTCTTCGCTGTCCTCATCGGGGCTAACCTTGACCATCACATATGGCTTTGTACGTCGATTTGTTTTATGCGCCGCTTCAACAACTCCTTGAAGTAGCTTCGTCAAGGGCTCAACGCGCTGTAAATCCCTCAAGCCAGGTGTGTTTGGACTCGACACGTTGACGACGAGGATGTCCGCGTATTTGGCTAATCGATCCACACAGTATACGTAATCTCTCTTGATCGCCTCGATGTCATTGTCTGGTGTCGTTTTGTTCTTCGCGATCTGTACCGCCAGCAGTTTGCCATGCGTAAGGCTGCCTGGTGGCACGCCAGCTTCTCCATCTAGCACCCTTTGTTCCCCAGCTTCGGATGATCCATATCCGTTCGCGTAGGCAAATTCGCGCACTCGTTTGTCCAGCACGGACGCCATGTGATCCGCTCCTTTAGAATTGAGTCCGTATCGGTTGATTAAGGCATTCTGAGAGGGGATACGGAATACTCGGACTTTAGGGTTTCCTTCTTGTGGTAATGGCGTACATCCGCCCACCTCCACGATGGCAGGACCGAGGTTAAACAGCGGGCAGGGAATTTCAGCATCTTTATCTAAACCACCGGAGATGCCAATTGGATTGCAGAGAGAATACCCGAAAACCTACCAAAAAGGAAGCACATAAATAAGTAAACTACACCACCAGTAGGGACATGATAAAACCCAAAAAGTGAAAACAGACCTCAGTAACCAACTTCCCATCACCGTCCGGATTTCCCCTCTCCCGCGGATGCAAGCCGAACCGATACAAGTTCTTCAGCATGTCCACGCCCACATGGTGAGCATCTTCCGCATCCGGGAACATCCACCTAATCAGTGGCGGCACCAAATACCGATGTGCACTCGCCCTCGTATCTGTCAAGTAGACATATCCGCACCCCATCCCCAACACCGCCGCCGTCATCCACATTATCCTTCGTAGCCGGCGCTTCCTCGGCGCAACTTTTTTGGCGGCGCTAGTTGCTGTGATGGCCGTTGCCGCCCCCACAGCAGCGCTTTCAGCCTCCTTCTTCGCCGTAGATGCTGCATCAGAGGAATTGAACCGTGCGGAATACGAAGGATAGTGCGGACGGGAAAACTTGGAGAGTGCTCGCGGCACAGAGCGGCAATTGAGCCGCATTGGCCTGGAAAACATATTCTGCTTTTGTTGCCAGAGGCCAAGAGGACCATGCAAAGGAACACTGTCGGTCAATTGGCGGGTGGGAAGGCAGGATAACGAGTTGAACCAAAGCCTTTTTTTTTTTCTTATTTCGCTGACGGAAAGACTTCAGAGCTGTGGGGGGAAGTGGGAGTTCACGTGACGTCATTTCTGGGACGCTGCCAAAAAAAAGGAGAGCCTTTCAGGGCTGGAGGGAAGAAAATGCGTTGAAGTACAGAGTACTCCGGACCGTGTACTACCATCTCATCTCGATCCTATTACCATGCGTTATTTTTTTTGGTCTATATCTGCTAGTGTTTACCAGCAGGTGTTTGTGAAAATTACCAATCTCTGAGCATATTCTCACTTTCTGGGATATGCACACAATTGACCAGGATTCGATTTTCCCTGACGGCACCAACAAACAAGATGGCCTGACAATACTGGTGATTCAGTAAACTCCCAACATGGTGTAACCAGCTCATGAGTCAACACAGGCAGAAGTGAGATGTACAGAAACAATATCATAGTTCTATTATCCAATAACATAGTACACAGTGCACAGGTAAGTATCATAGGGTTTTCTGCCACCCGGAAACAAGAGCCCATACCTAGACAACTCATTAGCAAAGAAGCAAGAAAAGAAGTGATCAGAGGAGAGTCGATGCTGGTGTATGTCTATATTCAAGTGCATGAATCATCCCATGTATATCAGGATGGGTAAGGGACAGCGGGAAATATAGTATAAAAACATATGTACGCAACCTGAAGAGCTTCATGCCCTCCAAACATTTCTTGATAGCCGTGATTGGAATATCAATCCAGCACTGGTATCAGTGTATGTCTGTCATGATTCAGTCAGACAACAAAAAAAAAAAAAAAAAAAAAAAAAATGAAAACAGAAAAAATGGCCATAAATGGCTTTCTGCAAATTCCTGGAATCAACCCAAAGGAGTCTAGACGCCTCACGCAGAACTATATTTAAATCAGGTCCGCAGGTAGCCTAGAAATTTGTTCATGGACAGGGAGCTCAGGAAGATGCAAGTCAAAGCAAGTGATCATCACTATATTCCAGAAACACTGGCTTTGGCATCTCAGCTGCACGGAATCAGGTAGCACAAAGAGGATAGTAATAACAGGGAAAATTCTATCATCCTGGTTGATAGAGGGGGAGTAAGAGCCACTTAGGCTTCGAAATATCGGAGAGTTGGCCCGTCGATTTCCCAGCGGGATCATTGCCCATAGACACTGCAGAGCAGTAGCATCACTTCGATGCACGCTCCGCCAGTCAGCTCAGCATACTCGATGGGCTGAATTGATCCATTGCTATTGAAACGCCACGATCAATTCAATCAGCAGCCAGGTGAGTATGTTGAGCCAGGTTCCCTTCGTCTCATCTCCTCTCTGTGGCCATGTGACCTTGGGGATAGCCTTTCAACGTCTCCTTCGGCTGGAAACGGCTTGCTGCTAAACTGCATCACGAGAGAGAAGAGAGAACATCTGCCACTGGCGAGTTGGGATGACACCGGCTTTTCCCGACCGCCACATGGCGCTCCGTTCCGGGATCTCCCTGTGGTGTTTCATGAGCAGCGGAAAAGGGAAGAAAAGCAACACCAGACTCAATGCAACAATGCAATCAAAAAAGAGACAAATAGGTCCAAATTAATGCCGTCCAACCATCAAATTTACACACGTATCGAGACCCCTCTATAATCACAGCAGGACTGCAGCCTTGTGTTTGAGACAACTTCCCTGTCTTCCTCGAGAAGTTGACTCGGCGGAACTGAACCCCTCTGTCGTCATAGCCTTGCCGCGCACATATCATATTTGAACCCAACGCATCGGAGGCTCGCAAGGTTCTCTGCGCTTGGGTATCAACTATTTATATTCCGTACTTGTCTAACATATGCCCAGGATGAAATAGGACCGGACTACGAGGGTTTGGCCGTCCAAGCTGTCAATATCCCGACCAAGGGAGCGGGCATCAGAATCTTCGAAAGAGAAGCAGAGTTTTCAGCTCCACCTTACCCCAGGCTCCCGGCTCTGCTTCAACTCTAACCCCATATTACCCCACACGAATCAAACCAGCTTTCAATTGATATTCTTGTCCCTCGAACACCAACTCCCAGTTTCTGCCGGCCCTGAGCAGGCCAGAGCAACGTCATGTCGACCAACAGACCCTTCCTTGCAAATTTCCTGGCAGCGTTCCGCGCCCAGTCCGCCTACAAGGCTGCCAAACCGCCTTCGCCAGGCCCGTCAACGGGCCTCTCCACTTCCCACGTTGGTTCTGCGAACCCATCCTCCTCCGGCTCTCGAGCGATAACCCCCAAGTCTGCTGCTGCTTCCCGAGGAAGTAATCCAAATATCACACCGTCCAGTTCACCACAATCCACGGCCGCAGCGGTGGCTACATCAGCATCTAGCCATTTCTCTTCACATCACCACAACCACAGCCACAACGGTAGCAGCGGCCATCGCCCCACTCATGGCCACTCACACGCCCACTCCCATTCCACTTCGCCGCCTCCCCCTACAGCCCGCTCACAGGCCCGTTCTTCCCTCAGTCCCACACCCAGCACTTCGTTGAGCGGAGCTTCGAATTCCACCTCCCCGGTGGCTAGTTCCACACCGATCCCCGTTCCAAATAACAGACATCGTCGCGGCAGTGATAGCAGCAGCGGGAGCGGTGGCTTTCGGGACGCGCTAGGCTCAGAGAAGTGGTATATTGGAGGGCGCACAGCTACTGGAGAAGAAAAATTTTATCCGCTTGGAATGGTTACCAAAGGCGGAGGTAGACTGAGCGGGAGGGTTGGAAGTGTTGATCAGCTCAGTCTCTAAAAAGCTGGAGAATATTGTGTCATTTGGACATCCTCCGTGGAAATCCTAGTGCTAGCGTGGAGCAAGGAGTCGTCGGTGGTAAACCGCATCTATGATCCGCTTGATTAGACACAAGAAAAAAAAAAGGTGTACAAATTACAGGTATTTTTCTTTCTGGCAAGATTTGTGTTCCCGGTTAGGTTGGCGCACATGGAAGGTATATGAACGCTGTGTTTATTCACGGGTTTTGCATAAAAATTGAAATACATAGAGCGATCGTGTGTTGTTTGGTTGTTTGTTTGCTCTTTGGCTCTCCCCCGGGTCTTTTATCTGGGCATCAACTGTCATATATTCCTGCGGCCACAGGGAAGGGAAAGTGCTCCTTGGATATTTAGATAAGAAACCGAAAAAGATCTTCGCTCTTGACCATGCTGCTGTCTCACACACTCTGGATCTCAGCTTCTGCCAAAAGGAGAATATATCCTGTATGCCGCGATGTTTCTGTCCACTTGAACGGGCATTTCCATTGTACCAATACATGAATTCGAAATCGAGACTGGTTTACCCCGCTTTTCGATTATCCAGATCGAAAACATGTGCTGCTCCCAAGGGGCCAATGCGGGGATAAATTTGGACAGAAGGATGTAGAGGTCTTACCGCAGCGGATACCACCATGGTAACCTCCGGTGACTCCAAACGGGGAAGTTAGTCCGCACATTCCACGGCAGTATACCGCCCAGGGGAGGTTCGTGCTTCCCTTCTTGCTTTTGTCCGTGATATGGAACATGACCCGACGATATTTCAATGAGACCAAGAGAAAAAAGAAACAAGGAGCAAAGCGAGGGCAAAACGCAAATTCATGTGACTGCTCACTTCGCTAATATTGGGGACTTATTCCCCAGACACTTTTGGGAGTTATATTTCCTCCCATGTGCGTCCATGCGGACACACTTGCCTATGAGTTTCTTTTCTTTCTTTCTTTTATTTTATTTCTTTTCTTTTCTCGGTGTGGCAAGTCTTCCATGGTCTCTATTGTTGTGACTTTGAGAGCATAAATTAAAAAAAGAAAATAAAAGGAATTGAAGTCCGAAGACGGGCTAGATTTGCTTCTCATGGAGATACATGGAAAATAGGGGGGAACGCCATGAAAGGGTAACGTTGAATCCAAGCGGTCACGGACATTGTTATCCTGCCCGTTCCCTCTCTGCCGTCTCCGCGGATTTCACACCGGTCGAAATGGAAAGGCCTTGCTACATATAGTTAACCGAGCCTGGGTTGATAATTTTGGGAATCCCAAAGACCGTTGCTGTCATCCAAAGGCAAATCAAGGGGTCCGACGCCCTCGAACAAGGATTAGTTGTGCGGCTGGTGTACCCAATTTTGAGCACATACATATCAACGGTATTACTCCGGGGCATCCAAAATGCTCCATATGCAGATAGAAGCCCACTTCACATGATATTTAATATGCCAATTTCACTGTATGCATGTTATCGAAATCCCCGTTTCTCGAGCCCGTCACCACCTCATCCAACACCTTCAAGCACTAACCCACCACCCGGGGTACATATAAGAATCGCGACGATACATCTCCCTCCCATTACCTCCTTATCTAGGTTTAGTACATAGGGTATACACTCTCCTCCATCCCCCAAACCTCCTCAGTCACAAGGACCTTGTGCCATCAGCCCAAAGGTAAACCAAAAGAAAAAGAAAACAAATTCCAGGCGAATGGAGTGGGCCCCCCACAAGCCGTCCCGCATCCCCACCCACTGCTTAATTGAACCACCGGACAACTCCAACGACAAGGGCCCAAGCATGTGGTTTTGAAACACCCCCGGCCGCGCTCCAGAAGTGGAGGCCAAAAAAAATAAAAAAGCGGACTCCTGTACTCCGTAGTATTTTCCCTCGCTATGGAGAATGTCCTGTCTCGGGATCCTTGTAGGGCGGGGCGTGCAACGGGGCGCCACTCCGTGCCCTGTGCGCCCTGGAAGGCGTGAGGATGGAGTTGCTGCATGTGGTTGTGGCTGGTATCTTCTGCGTGGATATTTGGAGGAGGCATGGCGGAGCTCTCCACTTTGAGCTTTCCAGATGCTTCGGGGTACTCTATGTACGGTAAGTACCGTAAATTCAGGGTTGTAGGGCGATTCTATGGCGGCTGGGTTCTTCTTTTTGGATGTAGTTTATGTGAAGTACGGAGGATATCGTAGTTACATTGGAGGCTGAAATGGAGTCACAGAGTATGCACCGGGCGTCTGTGTACATACACACGTAGGATAGCTGTTGGTAGAATGGGTGAGCTATGGTTGTCGACGAGGTATCAAATGTGATCTATACACTACGGGGATGCAGAAAACAGCAAGGCAAAGCTTTCACTCAATGATTGTCATAATGGGACGGTACATGCAGGTATGTTTTGGAAAACAAGAGAATGGGACACAAGTATGAAGTGTAGAGTGAGATTTTCGATAGATCCGATGGAAAACTATAGTTCAGGACCTTTGTTGCACGGCCGTTATTGCACATCACCGCTTCCGGGAGAAGTCGGCGGAGAGCGTTTAGCTAGTAGACGAAGATCAAGACCGAAATTAGATGACAATGCCAATACTCGATTGCAACACCATCGATATCGTCCTGCGCACATCATCATGCAGTGCGACTTACCTCGACGTCTACAGAGCACCGACACTCAAATATGCAGCGTGGTGTGCGGCAAAGGTATTACAGAAATGACTTATTCGATTCGCAACCCGCCCAATGTGCTTTGTAGATACATAAGAAGTCCTACCAGAACACACTGCGGTGAGCTGCTTCGTTCTTCCGAAGTCATCCCAGTTTCTTATTGCTTCTTGTTCCCCGTAGATCATCGTTTCTAGTGAGACGTCTTTCGACGTGAATTTTTATTTATTTATTTTACTTTTTTCGTTTTTCCAGTTTATTGACGGGACGTTATTTAGCCCTCCTGTGGTTTCCAATAAGATATACTCGCATTCCAAGAAAGGGGTTAGATTGAGTATGGTAGGCAGATAGGACGTTGTCCTACCCAATACCACAGGCAAGGGGTCCGTGTGATGAGAATGTATCCAGAGACCTGGGTATCACCAACAAAGAAATGATGTGACTATTGAAATCCAACAATCAGGTTCCTTTTTACCACCGTTTCGGGGTAAGACGGGAGAGAAAAAAGCCTTGACAATTAGTTTTCTTTTTTCCTTTTTTTTTTTTTGGCACTTTCGTCAGCGCGAATTTTCGGTCTGGACACAGGGACATTTCTCCACTCAGTCCGAGGTCTGACCGAACGTAGAGATCCTCCTATCAGCAGCAGGCGAGCGATTTCCTTCAGAGGCCCAATGAGCCGCCCAGCCCGCGTCCGACGATTTCGCGCCTCGGTATTCCGGTTCCGACACGGAAACCTGTTGGCCTTCCTGATTGGGCAAAAGCTGAACATTATTAGTCAGCTCATTCTTTTAAATGCACCGGGGTGAATAATTCTCACAAATCCTCCGGTGTTATGCGCACGAACCTGGGCCGGAAGTACCTTTGCGCCCGGAGGATTATGGCGGTGTACTTCGGGGCCCAGGGCAAAACTCTATTCTCGGGGAATACTGCCCACCTCCACTGACTCAGGAGTGCGCCTTGGGGCTTGGCGCTCTCGGCCAATGGCGGACATCACTGTTATCTCCACGCACTCGCCCCCCGGGCGCAGTCGAGATACGAATTTACCGCCAGAGTTACCCACTTTTCCTCAACGTCGAAGAGATCAGCGGATGCTTGGCTTGCGTAGAGAGCTTGAGCTGCTCCAGCGCATCAGATATCGACCTACACCCCCGTCGAGCCTTGGGGATGCTTCAACGAACTGGCCGGTTGATAATGTCTCATGTGAACGAGAAATTATTCGATCAACCTTTGTTGAAAATATGATTTGCGCGAGGTTAATCATTGCCAAGTTACATTCAAGCCGAGGGACACTCCTGACGCGGGCGAATTCAAAAAGCAAAAAAAAGCCAATCGCACGGCGACACTTGTACTGCCCAAGCCCATGAAAGCTCGCTCGTTAATTTCAAATAATATCATCGATACGAGGGAGGCGAAAAAAAAAAAAAAGCCTGTTGGGTTGTCGAGGTCCCGTCTGGGCGGGGCAAAACCCTCCGTGCGCCCGTGATAACAACTGTCAGTTTCATGGCCCTTTCTGGAACCCTTCGATCCTCGGCAAAGCTTCCGCATTCGTCCACGCTTTGAAGCTTTGTTACCCGCTAAGGCCAACAAGAGGAAAAAAATGATGAAAGGAAAGTTGCACGAGCGGCGCCAGGAGAAATGTGGTGACGCCACGGGCGTTATTTCATCCTACTCAGTCAGAGAAACTGTGATGCAACCATGACAAGAGCAGTGGAACCTTTAGAAGCTTGTCCTTTTAGCCTGTCCCTTGTGTCGGGAGATGATTGGCCTAACCGGCGATGTTCGACGGCAGGGCCTTGTGGATGGCCACAAGCGGGCTTGAAGCAGCCAGGGAGAGAGCACGGAAGGTGGATCCGATTGCCGGGTCTAATTCTGTAACGAATGATGACACGCGTCGCTAGCCCCTGAGCTGTCGGAGGGTTGCCAAATTTATCTCGTCGAGTGTCAAGTCAACAGCTCCGCGATGCAACTTGTCCAAGTATCTCCCTTTTCGGAGGAAAGGATATGGTTCTTGAACCAGGTAAATTATGATTAATTTGTTAGGCCGCTCCTTGCGCTCATTCTTGAAACGCTGAAATTGCCATATCCTGGATATTGCGGATAAGATGCCGTGTTATCCAGAAACTTTGTCCTGTCTCGCCGCCGTGGTCGGAACTCTAACAGGCCCAGCCGAAAGGTTTTGATTTTCTTTTTTTTTTTTTTTTATTCAAACTTCCTATCCTTTCACATCGCCATGTGCATTTTTAGAGAGCATGGATACTGTCTGAAGCATGGCATGGGATCCTTTATCCTGAAAAATGTAACCGACGTCACCGTATCATTATAGTTCCTCTGCCCCTAAGAGGCGAGATGATGAGGCGCTCTGGCGAGAATGCGGAAAAAAACAAAGGGTATCTCCAGACCCACGAGTCAGGTTTCCAGGGACTTTGTTGAGTTTAAACTTGTTTGAGCGTGTCGTGCTCCTAAAACAGTTGGACTGTGGAAATAGCCAACGGCATTGCTTCTCGCGCGAGCCATTATTGGCAGCGATCTTGGTGAGATGCCCGGCTTAAAAAATCCACGGAACATCACCGAAGCGACGTCACTCCTCTGCCCTGTGACTTCAGAAGAGCAGTATCCTCGTTAATATTAACCTCAACCGGCAGATCTTCAATGCGTCGGTTTTTTTTTTAAACAGGTCACATAATCAGCTCATGTCACGCAAGAGTCTTCTTTTTTGCCTCCCCCTGGA